TCATTAGATTTGGAAAGGAAAATCTCCTCCTCAGCATGACTTTCAGCTTAACCATGTGGAATCATGTTTCATTATTTCTCAACAGTTGTGATAGGAAATCTGTCAGGCCAGGGCATAGAAGGGATAAAGGGCTGGAGCCATGAGAGAGTGCCTTAGCTTATGAACTGTGACTGCGCAGCCCATGCTTTGCACAGGTCAGACCAAGGGGCACATTCTTGTTTCAACAGATACTTTTGGGGCAGATGGAGAGTGAGGAGTTTACAGTGGTCTAAATTAATGTCAGCTTCATTGCTAAATAACAGTAGTCAAATACTCCATATTCAGTAGTTGGTAAAAATCCTGAAAAATATTCAAAGCAGAGTCTGAATTCCAGGAGTTCTTTGGAAAGGTTTGCTTCTTAATAGCTGTCTTTCTTAGGTACTGCTGTGTTTGAAAAGAGGCATATCTTGGCTCAACAGGGTTTAGATCAGTGATTCTCAACCAGGGTTCCATGGCACCCTGTGTGCTATGAGATCCTTTGAAGGTTGCTGAGAGGTATAAGGAAGTAAGCAGAGACTTGCTCCTGCCCAGCTGCTCCTCCTCTCTCCCTAGGGGTACCATATTTCCAGGTCCAAAAAAGAAGACACCTGTTGGGGGGGAGGGGGCATGGGAAATATGGTGGGGCAGGGGCAGTGACATGCCAGTGCCCTGTCCCTGCCCATTCTGTTGCGCCTCACTGACAAGCCACGCCCCCCCAGCCCTGCTGCTGCCCCTCACTCTGAACCAATGACCCCAGCCCTGCCAGTGCCCCTCGCTCCCAAACAACAGTACCTTGCCCCCCACCTCTTGCTGGTGCTCCTCATTCCTGACCTGAAGCCCCTTGGCGCTACCAGTGCCCTGCACACTGAACCCACAGTCACCCATCCCGTCCCCCATGCCCCTCACTCCTGATCCACAGCCCCCTGCCCCCTTCTCAGCCTTGCCAGTGCCCCTCGCTCCCAACCTGCAGCCCCCTGCCCTGCTCCCAAGCCCTGCTGGTGCCCCCACTCTTGACCCACATACACCTGCCCCCACCAGCCCTGCTGTCCAAGCAGTTCCCACATTTTGCACGCGCGCGCGCACACACACTCTCTCTCTCTGTTTCTACTTGGCTTGCCGGACCGCAACAGCCGCAAGCAGCTGGTCCGGGAGAACAGAAAACCTGGTCATTTGCTTTTCTTTTCAAAACCCTCCCGGACACAGCACAGGGGACCAAAAAGAGGACATGTCCAGGAACACCCAGACGTATGGTAACCCTATCTCTTCTGCCTCACCACTGTCCAGCCCTGATGGGAGTAGCCCCTCCCCACTGGCTGGACCCTCTGCAGGGAAGTAAGCACACACTTGTACCTGCCAGTTCACTCCTCCTCTCCCACCTCTGCCCTCTCCTTCCCCCACCTCAATCCCTGTAGAAGGATTCCAGCACTGTAATAAATAAATTAGTTTTTTAAATGGGGTGCCACTTAATTCACAAACATTACAGATCAGTGCCTGGGACCTAAAAAGTTTGAGAACTACTGGTTTTGACATTAAAGAAACCCATGCTCACTCTCATAACAGTAGAAGTTAAGCACAGTCTGGAGTTTCCCATTAAATTCTCCCTGGCTTACTCAACTAAGACAGTATTTTTTTCAATATCCCTATTCCTTTCCCTTTCTCACTGTAGGGATTTCTTTAGCATGAAGTACCTATTTTAAATAATTTAAAATGGTATTATAGATAGCATTGAATTTCCTTTTTTGGAGAAAAATGAAAATGAAATATCTTGATCTGGACATGTTACTGGAGGCCAGTTTTGTTTTCTTTAAGATCAAAAAACACGTGTGTATGCATGTACATGCATGTGCCCATATGCATGCGCGCGCGCGCACACATACACACACAAGAAAAGGGAAGGTAGAACATGCCGTTTTTGTCTTTGGTGCTCCTTTACTTGCAGTTTCATTTCTAGGAAGAGATGGGTGGGCTGAGCAGTCTTATTAGCTGTTCTGGGTCCTTGCATACCTGAATCATCACCAGCTGTTTAAAGCATTGTTTAGCTGCTTTTTTGGTCAGAAGCCCAAGGCAGTAGGCAGAAGATTGTAATCCTAAACCTAAATGAGGGTTAGACTGGACCATGAGGGTCACAGTGTTATTTTAGTTAATTGTCAGATAGAAAAGAATGTAAAGGAAAATGACATGCAAGGGAAGGCTTGGGAGCATTCCAGGTGGGGGTCAGGATTTCAGGAAGTCATTGGCCTGGTTATGTCAGAGAGACTTTCCAGATTAGGTCAATGGAAGCCCAGCAATTTTGTTGTGGAACTGAGGGTCCTGGGAGATGAAAGTGGCAGCCTTGATGGTAGAACTGGCTCTGGCCAAGTTTATATACACCCAGTTCATGAGTGCAGCCAGTGCAGTTTGTCACAATGTCCAACAGGGTTTGGCACCTGTATCCTATCACCATGAATTAGAGTACATTTTCATAACTAAAGCTGTAAATGTTGGCTTCTGTTTCTTGAATTCTTCAGCTTGTTCTTATGCTGACCCACCCGTGACTTTACCAGGGGCCTTGTTCAAGCTTTACTTAAACAATCCAGTCTATTGGCCTACAACGTTTTGCTGATTTTTATAAATAGCCGCATGTCATGGTCTGAGTTGGACTTTTGTCCCTTGGACCCTCTGTATGTCAATCTGTGCATCGTTTTAAAGATGCGGGAAAATGTTTAAAACCCAGACTTAAGTTCCTCCTTTAAGTAACTCTAGTTACATCATTGGAGTCACCAAAAGAATAGCTTATGTCCAGTCCAAATATAACACCTATCATCTCAGATGAGACCATTGGGCTGTTGAATCCATCATCCTACCTTTTGGAGCAACTGCTGCATATACTGGCATACTAGCCAGGAAATCTCACTCTGTTCAATGCACCTTAGGCTTTATCCAGTGTGCGGGCCGGGAGCGACCCAAGCCCTTTTCCACGCTGCATGCGGGCTGTGGCCAGCAGCCCGGGCACGCCGGGTCGGAGAGGGAAGGCCGTCGACCTGGAATTAGGCACAAACGCGTAGCGGTAGTTTACAAGATTGTTTACTTACACCGGGATGGCAGTGGTGCAGGCTGAAAACTTGCTTAAGTTGCGGTTACAGACAGGAAAGAAGAGAGGCGGACAAGAGTTCTAAACTCGTGAACTCTAGCCCAATCCGGCTGAAGGCTCTGAACACGCGAGCCCGTCGTGTCAGCCGAAGAAAATACTCATCCGGAAGAGCTCTGAATAAACTCACACAAAGTTTGCTAGGCTCCGTGGGTCCTTCTGCTCACTCATTCACACGGAGTTTGCTAGGCTTCGTGGGTCCAGTTCTTTTGCGCGCGGGAAGGGATACGTCTGGATTGCGCTCGGCGATGGGGAGAGGCTAGAGGTTGATCAGACCTCTGTTGCCTGCTTTAAATGCACTGGGTCCGTAAGGATCCACAGCGCTTAGAGATCTTCACACAGCGTGAAGTCTCCTCCTCCCTTGTTCGTGGAGTCCTCCAACTTGGGCGGAAACCACTCAAGCCTCTTATACGGCTAGCAAGCCAATCACTAGCCGCCACGAGTGAATAATTTAGAACTGGCCAATAATGGGACTCGAATTAGCATACAAATGGCGGGAACTCTTTGCAACAAGCACTTCTGTGCTGCAACAAAGTAATGCACCCTGCAAAGAAAGCTTCAAATTGGCAGGAAATCCTCCCTTGCACCGGGGTTTTCTTTTGCAGCAGAAAACTCCACCGTGCAAAGAAGCTGTAATTTAGCGGGGACAATTTAGCAGTTGCGAAGCACACACAAACAAAAATCACACCCTTTGGGTTGTGACATCCAGAACCCATAAAACATTCAATGTGTGGAAGTTCTTACATGCTTAAAGGAAATCACAAGTGCAGTGAAGTTGTATAAACTGACATGAGCCAACAGCAAAAACTTTCTTACTAAGGTGAGGTTTCTTCCTTGCTATTTTAGTGTTGAGACAAGAGCGTACAGTTGATAACAGAACAACAAAGAATTATGTCTAGCCCCTTGCACAGTGGGGTTCTACCATCTGACTGCAACTGCTGGATGGTTATAATGCAGACTGACATTCCCCCATACAGCATTGCCATTTTAAGATGTATACGAATTTTAGCTAATGCAATGGTGGTTTGAAACAACCAAGAACTATACAGATTCAGCAATAGAAGGTATAGACTGCTGGTGATGAGTGAGCCAGATAAGAGTAGCTAAAGAGATTAGCGTCAGCTCTCTTGATATATTTGGATAGTATATGGTGCTCTCCCTTTTAGTTCAGTGACATCTAAGAGCTACATTTGGTTTGACAGGGAACATCATCATTATTTGTGTGAGGGAGCCTGTCATGGCAGAATAGAGTTGTTAATATAGGCAGTTTTACTCTACTAAAAATACCATGGATTACAGCTACTAATATAATAATCTAAAACAATGACATACCACACCATTTTAATTTATTATTCAGTTTTCAGCTTTAGTTTCTTGAAATTTAAAGTTGGAAGTATTTCAAGTCTTGTGTCAAAACCTGTGTTCTGAGCTTTCTGAACTTCAACAGCTGGCCGAACAGCTTTCAGACAGTGGGTAGTTGATGAAGAATCTTTCTCAATGCCTAGTGAAGATAGTGGGAGCTTTTCCTCTTGCTTTCCTGGGTTTTCATTCAGTCTAAAGTAGGATGACTTTATGGGACAATGTGAAATCTAGGATCCTGCCTGCCTTCCCCTGCCCCTGCCCTTCCCCTCCGGTGCTGCAGGGAGTCAATGGCCTATTAATGACCTAGTGTTCTTTACTTCACCAGTGTTAAACATCGGTGAAGTTGCAATTAATGTTAATAGGGCTTCTTACTTCACAGCTCCTGCCACTCTGCCCCCACTCTGCCTCTGGGCCCAGGAGGCTCATTTTAGGTTTCATTGGCAGGGGGGGGCCCGCCTCAGGGGTGGGCAATTATATCGGGTGGAGAGCCGCTTACTGAGTTTTGGCAAGCTATCGAGGGCCGAGTGACAGGCAGCCAGGGGCAGATATATATTAATTTTATACATTTTTTTAGGGGCTCCATGGGCTGGATAGAATGGCTTGGTGGGCTGCATGTGGCCCACGGGCTGCATTTTGCCCACCTCTGCTCCAACATCTGGGACTGTCCTGGCCAACCTGGGACATATGGTCACCCTAGTTTAAAGCAGTGTATTTGCCTGGTGCACAGCGCTCTATTCCCCGCATATTTCATAGTGAGTTTATTGATGACATTGGGCGAAATCTCAGTTCTGTAAAAAACACAAACTTGTGTTAAATCCCACCGAAATAAGGTTTTCCTTATAACAAGTTGGTAGAGGATCTAAAATAATAGATGTGAGCAGCTATGTGACTGTTCTTTCTCTGGTTTCAGGATTCACCATGAGGTTAGGGTTTGTTCTCTTTTTGGCTCGGTTTGTGATCTGGCATCCAGGATCTTAAAGAACATGAAGAAACTTTTGAACACTAAAAAGCCATGATGCATTTTAAAAATGCATCATGATTCCTCTGTGAAATCCTATGAAATATGAACTTTCATTTCTACCCAGGAGAACTTATACAATCTTTTCTCCAATGCCTGATGATGGGTGTTTGTGCCTGAAAGCTTGCAATTAAAGATTTTTTTTTTTGCAAAAATCTTATTGGTTTAATAAAAGATATCATCTCTAATACAAGTCTGATTGACTTTTCCTCTAGACCAATACAGCTACAACCTGAATACATGATGCATTTCTTATTTCTCTGTATATTCAAAAGTTCAGTTTCTTAACTTCCTCTACCTGTTTTTCTCCATATAGAATACTCTTTTTGGTTCTTCCTTTCCACTTCATAACACAGCGAGGGCTTGGCCACTGAGGAGTGGAGACTTTTTAACAAAAAAAACCCAACTTGTGTTGCATTATAAACCTCAAAGCATTTTACAAACCTAAAGGCACTTAATCTCTATTTTAAATATTAGGAAAAATTAAGATTTAAGGGGATTTAACTGAAAAGGGTCCCAAAGTAAAATCTGAGTTGGGAACAGAATTAATGAGTGTACCTACTTTGAACTGTTTCCCAGCTTAATTGTGCCTGAGGACAGTACATGCACTTACTGCCTCGGTGTGTGTGGGGAGTGTCTGCAGCCATGGTGTTTTTTTCTCCAAGCTTGTTTTACCTGATGGACCTATGTAGTTTTCCAGCTTAGTCCAGCATAGATTAAATGGAAACATTTTACTAAATATGTAAGCAGGATGGTTGGAATTACAGTTTTCTTTCATACCAAACTTTAACCCCACGAAAAAGCTCTGCAGGTGAGTAACAATGGGGTCTTTGTGTTCTGTGAAGGGAAGGTGATATTCCATAGGTAGTGGAAATGCCTGAATACCAATGTGGTATGTAGGATGCCTACAGTTTGGACACACTTCTGATACATGGCTATTTCTCTGCTTTTTGGACCATTCTTTCCCATGTTTGAATGTTATCATGAAACCCACAGAGTCTGCATGCAATTTGGATCCTTTTACTATGCTGCTGCATTTCATGCTGAAAGTATCTTTTGGGTTTGTTTACGATGCCATTTGCTATTTCAACCTATTTGATTACAACTGGATAATACATCAGAGCAAAGGCTTCAGGGTCATGCTCTGAGTTTAGAAAGCTGCGTTCATAGAAGGAAATGAAGAGCTTTTTGAAGCTTTAAACAGTGTCTTGTTGAGGGAGCTGCCAGTGTCAGGTGTTGGTTGTAGCTTTCCCACTGGTAACTCCTGCTCCCTAATGCTTTTCCTTCCATTTTAACCAGGGATCATTTTTATTCTGCATAGTCTCTTACAAATGTAACTCTCTTAGACTTAAACTTTTTCTTCTCCTCTTAGGTTCTGATCCAAAGCCCATGTAAAGACTTCCATTTGACTATGGTTGGCTTTGGACCCAGCTGTTTGGCTGGTCAGAGAGGAGCACTAAGGGAGAAACTCACTGGGGAGCTACTGGGGAGCAAAGAGAGAGTCCATGTACCATGCTCTAGGTATTCATTCTTACCCCTTTAAAGATGGCAGAAGCTGTTTTTGGTAGAAGCCTCCCCAATCCTGCACCAGAGGGATGGGTTTTTTTTGAAGTATGAGGTTCCTAAGAATGAAGAAGAGGGTTATAAAACTGAAGATCCCTGCTCTGTCCTCTGAGATAGGCTTGGAGGGACACTTCCCCCTGCCAAAAAGAAATAAGCAGTTGACAATTTAGAATATCATTAACCTGTTCCTAAGGGACGAGTAGAAATTGCTTGCCTAGGAGCGAAACGTCATTAACTAAAGGCAAGAGAAGATGATACTGAGAAATGCACTGAGATTCTGCTAACCTGATTGAGAGACAGACCTGTCAGGTGAGATCCTTAGTGCAGGTAACTTTTTCTGTTATTGCTTTTTCCTCAGAAATTCAGATGCACATATGCAACAGAGAACACTATGGTTTTCTCCCTGTGCCCCTGAGGTCACACCAGACACTGCAGGAGGACATTGAAAACTTTATTCATGTGACAATCGAGGCAATGAGTAAGTCAGAGCATGCCATGCCCTGATGCTGGGTGCTTGGGGATGGTGTTTACAAAACTTTCCTTGAATTTTCTTTTTGACAAAAGAAAAAAAAATCTTCACCAGATCTAATTATTGTGGTATTTTTGTTAAATTAGATTTAATGTTTTCCGCCCCTTCCCATGATTGTTCATCACAGCAACAGGAAAGCACCACTACCAAAATCCTACCCTCTCTAAAATGCATGTTCCTATCCTGTCTTGGCACAAAATAAGTGCTCCAACATTATGCTTGGATGTTTTTTGTCACTTGGCTTTTTTGGCTTTGTCCCTCTCTTAGCACAGGTTAAATGCATAACGGTAACTGTGCTCCCACTCTGCCCTTCATGCCACAGTCCTTCATTGCACATGGGGAGGTATTAAAAAGTAGTGAAATAAACTGACTGGGCTGCTGTACTTTAGGCATTTTACTAAAAGATGCTGTGGACATTTCTTTCTTTTTTTCTGTTTTTAGTTGATCGTCCTCCAGTTGAGCCCTCACAATACATCTCTGCTCCTCCGAAACACCCAGACAAGATGGGATTTGATGAGGTAGGAGTGCCTGTATGTACGTGCATTATCATCAAGCAGAGCATCTGGTAGAACCCACTTCAGTTAAGCTGCAAATCTGCTTCTATTCACAATGCTCGTTTTCTTATGCTTATAACTTTCCAAAACATTCATGTTTTGGGCTGAAATTTCCCATGGGACTAATCCTAATGTCTTTACTCAGCTAAAAGTTCCACTGAGTGGAATGGTTGTTGGGCGTGCTCAGGACTTCTTCAGAACTTATGTAAGTGCCTGCACGTAGGTTTCGCTGCCTGATTTTTAAGTATGGAGCAACTGCAGTGGAAGCTCGTAGGAGCAGTGGGTGCTTATTACCTTTGCACTGCAGGTCTTTTTGTGTCTACATTCAAAAACCCAATTTAGAAAATGTTAACTTGGGTCAGGACCTGACCCAAAGCTCAGGGAAATGAGTGGAAATCTCTCCTTGCATTTCAGCAATCCCTGAAATCAGGCAGTAATCTAACAGTGACAGAACTAACATTGGAATCCAGCTTTTTGACCTGCCCCTTCTTGCTGTACCTACTAAATTTTGCTCTTTGGTACTTTAAAATGAGGGCTTTTTTTGTGTGAAACTTTCTCCTGCCTTACCAGTAGCAAACAAGGGAGCTATTTTCCTTCAGAAAGCAAAGCTTTAGAATGGAACAGTCAGCTCGGTTTATGGAAGGGATGTGTATCCTGATTGAATGCGGTACCGTGCTGTTCCCAATTGCATTTTCCTGTTTGGGAGCCACGTTTCTGCTGAGGCTTTCTTGTTTTGATTTTGGCCAAGACAGTTGGGGACATTTGTGCAACAGAACTCAGGAAGTTTGCATAAATCTCTCCAGCAGCTCCTGTCTCTGTCAGGAGTATAGCAGGTCAGCCAGAATTGGAGACAAAGCATCAACAGAAGGTGACTGGGAGCAAATCAGAGAGAGACATTGTGCTTTGCATGGATAATATTTATTCTTTGCATAGAGCATTTACAGGTCCACACAGTGCCTGCTTGCTTAGCTGTAAGTGAGACTATAGTATAATGACTGAGAGTGTCACTAAAACCAGGGGGACCTTGTTTTTTTGCCCTTTTTTTGGCTTGGGTTTGTCTATCTATTTATATAGTATCATGAAGCCCAGACTCTGCTTGGCTGTGCATGCTTGATCACCTCTGTTTGTAGTATGGCATGTGTCTTTCTGGGCTGTCTTTTGTGGCTACATTTGCTTGCCCATTTTGTTTTTATTATTATTGCTGCATTTGGATGTGGCTCAGTCTGTTTTTTGCTTGACTGAGGTTTAGACTGCACTTGTCTTTACTTGCGTGAGGCCAGAAATGTTTGCACTTTACCCACTAAGGTATGTGCCTGGCCTGCCATCCATCATGGCCCAGGGAACATATGTTTGCATAGTTTGGACTTGGTGCTACATAGAAATCTCATTCTTCTACCCAGTCTTTGTGTCTGTGTTACAATTGTAGTTCTGACAAGACAGCAGACTTCCAATATCTGTAGTGATTAAGGCAGGGGCGGGCAAAATACAGCCTGCAGGCCAGATCAAGCACTTTCAGCTGGCCCGCAGGGCCCCCCAACAAATTGTGCCCTGCCCAGCTCTTCTGCCTACAAGGGTGAGAGCAAGGTGCCCACGTGTACATGCAGCCCCAAAAATGTACTCTGTTGCCTGGCTCCCACCCTCATGGGTGGAAGAACTCAGCCCGGCCAGCGTGCAGCTTCCATGTGGGTCTGCTGCTGCAGCCCCCGGGGACCTGCTCTGCTTCCCTGGTCTCCTGCTTGCTCCGAGCAGCAGGTGGGGAAGCAGTGGGGGCAGGGCTGCAGCTGGGCAGGAGCATGGGGCTGGGGCTGGCAGCAGTGCAGAGCCCATGCGGAGGGGAACTGGGTGGGGAAAGAGCTGGGGTGGGCAGCATGTGGGGACCCCCCACACTCCCTCCATGGGGTGCAGCCCCGGCAGGCAGTGGCAGCAGCAGCAGATGAGGTGCTCAAGGTGCAGGTGCCTCGTGGGGCGCAGTTCTGGCCAGCACTGCACATTGCAGCAAGGGGCGCAGCCTCCGCTGGGCTGCCTATATCGCCGGCACTCCCTACCACTCACATGCAGCCCCTGCACTCACACAACAGGGAGGGAAGCCCCACGTGCTAGAGCCAGCTGCCTCTTCCAGGGTTGCACAGCACCGGAGAGAAGCCCCACATGCTGGAGCTGGCTGCCTTCCCTGCAGGGGCTGTACTTCACGGGAGGGAAGCCCCAGGTGCCTTCCCCTGGGGGTGTGGAAGGCAGGTGGCTCCAGTGTGCAGGGCTTCTCTCAAGTGCTGTGCAGCCCCAGTGGGAAAGGCAACTGGTGGCTCCAGCACATGGGGCTTCCCTCCGTGCTGTGTGAGTGCAGGCACTGAGCGTGAGTGCCAGGGAGCGCACACGATATAGGTGGCCTGGTGGAGAGGCTGTGCCCCTTGCTACGATGTGCAGTGCTGGCCAGAGCTGTGCCCAGCGGGGCGCCTGTGCCCTGAGCACCCCACCTGCAGCTGCTGTGCCATGGGGGGACCGTGGGAGGTCCCCACCCTCCCAACCTCTCTCACACCCACACCCTGCCCACATGACCCCCAACCTACCCTATGCCCCCCACGCACTCACACCCTCACAAACCTCCCCACAATCTACCGCACAACCACACCCTCCGCTCCCCACCATGCACACCCACCATGCACACACCACACACACACACACACACACACACACACACACACACACACACACACACACACACACACACACACACACACACACACACACACACACACACACACACACAATATACAAAACTAAGAATTTATTTTTGAGTTATTATGCAACCACCTCTATATACAGTACGCAAACACAAATCATGACAAAAATATTTTTTGTAATAAAATTAAAAATTGTTATAGTAGGTGTTTGACTTTTATTGCATGATTTGTTTTTTGGGGGTTCTAAGATGACAACCCCTCCCCTCCCAAAAGGAGTATTTCCAGGGGACAAGGGGAAGGACTTCTAGTGGCAAAGGTCAAGGGTTAAATGGTGGGACTTCTGGTCATAAAATGGAGACAAGGGGGTGGGGCAACTGTCGAGGGGTGGGGCTACCCTTGCGGCCCTTGACAGCTCACCAAAACTCATTAAGCAGCCCTCCACCCAAAATAGTCGCCTGCACCTGGATTAAAGAGAGCCTGCTTCCACCTGCCCCCAGATACTAGAGTGATGGAGACATCAGTAATCCTGAAGAGAGAGAGATACAACACTGTAGAAAGGTCTCTGTCCTTGACTACCTGCTGACCCCTTGCCCCCTTTGCATCTGTGATGAACATGAAGGCTCACACTTCACTGGGCAAGGAAGGGCTGAAAACAGAAGCCTGTATCTGGCAGTTAAGATCCAGAAGTGAATGGCACAATTGAAATCAGCACTTGCTTGAACTCCACAGGGGGGGTTTTGCAATAAAAATGGGATGGTGACAAAGTGAAGCAGGTAAAAGTCAGGAAATGGCAAATTTAAGGTTGCCTGCCCAATCTTAACTGCTTCCTGGTGTACATATATTACCATGCCAGTTTTAATGACACGATCACATACAATTCAGGGCCTCTTCTTTTAGTACATACAGCACTTGGGGAATGTGGCAGCTGTTCAGTATGATTTTTTTATTTCATTTCATTTTACTATTCATTATATGGAGTCCTTCTTTATTCACTGCCCATAAAGGTCCATCAGCCGCATGGAATCCTCCTCTGTACGATTAGAGCCACTTTATAGTACCTTTATTTTACCAGACCAACCCGAGTCCAGATCAGTATCTGATCTGGCAGGTCTCTTGTCCTAGACACATTGTTGCAAATCATAGTTATATGCAGCATCATGCTAAAAGAAATTCAGCTCATCTTTCTAAACACGTATGTGTGTGGAATCAACAGGATGGCAAGTGCGCATGCAGATTTTGATCCAAAACCCACTGAAGTCAAAGGGAGTCCTTCCTTTTGACTTCAGTGGGCTTTGACCTGAACCCATGCTGAATGGGAGTTCTGTGCACATGCATTTGTAATGACAGTGGAATATGGGCTACATAAAGAAAATTACATCATATTACAAAGCCCAGCATCCACATATAATGTATGATGAATTAAAAAAATTAGAACTCGCTCAAATGACAATGGATTTTTACGTGACCATGGACAGACATAGTAACATGGAAAAGAAAGCGACAAATACTTTTCTTTCTCAGGATTATAGGAGCCAAAGTCCTGCAGACTGTTGATGAGGTTTAGGAACTCAAGTATGAAAGGGCCAGATTTAAAAAAAAATATTTTGGCCTCCAAAGATGCAGATAGGCATGCAGTGGGATTCCAGGTGCCTAGCTGAATCTTTAGGGGCTGAAGTCACTTTTGGAAATTCAGTGTGCTTTTGGAAAAGCACTTAGGCAGTTTTCAAAATTTGACTCCATGCTCTACTCACATTTCACCTTTCTGTCCCACATAGGTAAGCTGCTAAAACTGATCAAAGAAAGTCAGAAGTCAGAGAATTTTTCTTTACTAGACTTTACTGAACTTTCTTTACTAGTTCTTCTTCCTACTTCCTTTTTATTTTTGAAAATCTACTTTTCCCTCTGACTCTTCATGAAAACAAGCTGCATCTAAGAAAACACATTCAAAATTTCAGCTCCAGAGGTACAAGTTTGATAAAATTTATAAACAATTTGAAAACAACTCCCTTTACTGGAAATGTTCCTGGCACTTTAACAAGGTCTAAAATCTATTAAGCTTTGGGAGTAGTTATGATCTGTACTTCACATGGAGCCAGAGTTCTGATTTCTTTCTCTTCCCACCAAGATTTTCATGATCAACCTGAAGCGTCGAACAGACAGGCGGGATAGAATGCTGCGGACCCTCTATGAGCAGGAGATTGCAGTCAAAATTATGGAAGCTGTGGATGGAAAGTGAGTTCTGTCTGGTGTTGCATGTGCTATGAAAGGTCTGATTCTGTGTAGCAGGCCTTTTATATTTGATGCTCTGACTTTGTTAAGGAAGGTGGGCTTACTTAGTTTTTCATGTACTGTGATGTCATTTTGCAAAAGTAGAAGGGTATTGTGCTGCTGCTGTACTACTTCTGCCTCTTGTTTTAATCAGCATCCATTAGAGAATCTGTGAGGTAGTTCAAGCTGAGGAGTAAAGGTCAGTTTAAGGCAAAGATCTGTGAATCACTTTTTTTTACAACACTAAAGAAAGGAACCTCCTTTGGAGCATTTGGAGGCATTTAAATATTCCCTTACAATATTCCAACCCCAAATTCTGCAGTATTGTGTTATGCTACCACTGTCCTAGTATGTATAACTGCACATCTCAAAACAATATATCAAGCCCTATTTTAGAGCTAAGAAACCACAGCATTGTGGTTAAAGCTGGGATTTTCAATTGGTTTTAAGACAGTTGGGTCTCGAAATCCCATCCAAAAGTCCTTGGGACTTCATTGCCTAACTAGACCCTTCTGAAAATCCCAAGCCAAGTGACTGAAGAAGGCCACACAAGAAATCACAGGCAGAATTAGCTGCAACTTTTGGATCTCTCAGTTTTTCTTTGCTTGCCTAGTGCTAGGGTAATAGAACTATAAAGTGAAGCTTCCCATAAAAAACAGTAATTCTGACTGTTCCAATCCTATGGTCCAAGCTGAGAGAAATGCAAAAAATAAGAAAAATCCATGATAGTGTAAAGTGAACAAGATATCCTATAGTTGTATCATTTGGATCCTCTGAAACGTTACCAAAATTGGCAAGGTCAGATTCTGGATAAACCACTGTTAAGACTACAGTTTCTTCAATCTATTAGGTTAGGAGGCTAGAGTAGCCTTACCTAAGTTTAGCTTGAGTTAGAAATTAGTTAGATATTAAACAGTAGGCAACCACGTGTGCAAAGGGCTCCTAAGGTCAGGAACACTTTGGTTTTTCACTGCCAAACCATTTTGCTGACTCTGGGCCTGAGTAAAAAAACAGTAGGACTCACGAATTTTTCCTAATACTTAAAGAAGGTCTCTCTTTCTCAGGGCATTGAATACAAGTCAGCTAAAAGCTCTGAATATTGACATGCTACCTGGTTACCGGGACCCTTACTCTTCCAGGCCATTAACCAGGGGTGAAATTGGCTGCTTTCTTAGTCATTACTATATCTGGAAGGAGGTAAATAATCTCTGTTCTCTCTGGGTGTTATAGGGTGCTGAGGGAGGGTAATGGTGCATGTTTTTAGTAGTCTCTTTTATTTTGCTATAAATAAAACCACAATATTGAGTGGACTAAGATTTTTAAATATTAGTGTTAATGGGACTCCTAAACTTATTGAGGCACATTCAGCACTTAGTAAAAAGGAGCTGAGTACCCCTCAGTTCCCATTCTGCTTTTGATATTCAAGCAGCTCCCAATCTGTGCAACTTTATCCAAACATTTTTTAAGGGCCATTTTTACTAACTCTTTAGCAGGTCAGTTTGGGGCAATTTTGATCTGGGCAAGGTGGGATTCAGAGGATTTTTTCCATTCTTTTATTATTTTATCACAAAATTCCCCCACGGAGATTGTGCAGAAAAACAATCAAGCATGGACAACTTTGATGTGAAGAGATTGATACGGGTGTTGATCAGATTTTTAAATCTTGTGTTCTGTAGACATCAAGAGATTACCTATGGTAGTGTGATTTTATCATGATTTTATCACGATTTTTTTCCATTATGAAGTAGTCAGTTTTGAATAAAAACTTGGGAAACTGACTAGTGTGGTCTCAATACTGGGCCATTTTCATGTAATCAAAATGAAAAGCAGAAACTTCAAAAAAATTTCCATTCCTACTGAATGTTTCTCCCAGCCAGGTTGTGCAGTGCCACACCCCTGCATGGTTGCTGAAGACCTAAAACGCTGAACGTGCTACCCCAGATCATAAAGCACCAGCCTCTTTAGCCTGACTTAGGATACCCAGGTTGAATAGCCATAAGCTGCAGCATGTTCAGCAACTTCTGTTATGTGCCTCAGCCACCACTAAAGGGGAACAGAGCATTCTATGTTCTATATTCTATCGGCTAAATTACATGCTTCCTGTGGCCAGGGGAGTTTGAGTGCTACGTGTATAGTAATGAGCAGGGATCCTGGTTTTCTTTGATAAAAAATTGCAAATTCTCTGATAAAAACCCTAAAATCCATGATTAAAATGAAAAGCCACTATATATGTATTGTGTTCAACTGATATCTATCTATCTATCTATCTATCTATCTATCTATCTATCTATCTATGTGCCAAGTTGCACCCACTGGGCTGCAGAGGCCCAGAGGGAGGGCAGCAGGGCGGGGAGCCCAAGCCCGCACTGAAGAGCCTGCACCCGCCCCTGTCCTATGCACAGATCTGGGAGGCATGGGTCCCCCTACGCCCCCTGGGGAGTGCGTGCAGCTGCAGGAAGACAGCCCCATCCCCCCGCCTCCTGCTCAAGCCACCTACATCCCCATCCTGCTTCCCGCTGGGGCCCTGTGGCCATGCATTCTGGCCCCGGGCCCTAAGCCCCATGCACCACCTGGCTGGGCAGCAGCCCTAGCCCTGCCTAACTCCCTCCCTCCCTCCCTATAAGAGCTCTTTGCAAAACTGCAAAATCCACAGGTTTCTCCATCAGAATGAAAAAGTTGCATTTTTCTCAGGTAAAGGGGGAAATCCACATTTTTCTCTGTTTTCCCATGGGGAACAGAAAACCCAGAACCCTGGTAACAAGAGGATTGGGCTATATCAGGGTAATATGGAACATAATCAGAACATTCAAATCTTCCTGGACAATCCATGCTGTGTGAAATGAACACGCTGGGTTGGAAAGTAGGAGGTGGAGATGACTGGAGAAAGACAAATGTGATGGTGTGTTTTTGTTTCAGAAATAGGTCTGGAAATCCAAGTGAGGTTAAGGGCCTTATTGTACCAGGTGCTGTACAAGTATAAAATAATCAAAGCCCAAAGTGTGTGACTGTAGTCAGCCGCATAACTAAGGCTGGGTAACTGTGGCACCAGCCTGGGTACCCCAGTAGAGTAGGACACAAGAGGGACAGACATTGCTGCTGTCACTGGCCTGACTGCTACCACTCAGGGCACAGAACCTGGTTGTTATGCCTTGGTTTGTAGTGTAAACAGGATACAGTACATTTTTGTGGCAGAGAGTAAAATGCAGAGTTTTAAACCAAACAGCCTAGAACCAGTGGAAGTGACTTGAAAAATGAGAAGTTGGGTACGACATTCTGCAAGATCTGCTTTAAATCCATTGGTGTTCACCTAGCATCATTGGCTGTTTTTGTTCAATCTAGTTGTACCAAACAACCTACTAATAGTACTAGTGAGTAGGCCTGTGTGAAGCAGCTAGTATTTGCTTCGAATTCAGCTGATTCGGAGGACAGTGATTCGATTTGGTGATTAGAATCACTGTCCCAAATCGATTCGGCTGAATCTAATTTGGAGATTTGGATACTGCCGAATCTCCGAATCAGCCAGGCCCATCCCTGTCCGCTCTCCCAGCCCAGCAATGGCTGCCCTGCCCACCCCAGCTCCTGGCACTTGGGGAAAAAAAAAAAAGGTCTGCCTCACCGGATGCTGCCGGGCGGGGGAGCAATCCCCGCTGCCCTCCACTGCTGTCCCATACTGCATGGGGTCTCTGCACAAGCCCCCATAGCCCTGAGGCCACTGCAGGAGCCGAGAGTCCTGGGGTTTTTCTCATTTTTTGTTTTGTTTTTTTTCTTAAAGGGCCAGAGCTGGGGTGGGTAGGGCAGTCATGGGAGGGGCTGAGACAGCGGGGCAGTCATGGGGGTGCTGGGGGAGCAGGCAGGGGCTGGGGGCTGGGGGGGATCCCCCCATAGTCCCCTCCCCCAGTCCCCCCTACCCTGCTCCCTCCTTACTGGGTCCGAGTCTGACTGCAGCTCCCCGCTGCAGCCACCGGGGACTGTTCAAATCATCGAAGCTCTCCAAATGTTTTCCAAAGATTCGGAGAGCTTCGAATCATTTAGGACCTTTTAATTGGTCCCCTGATTCAATTCGGATTTGGGGGATCCCCCCATAGTCCCCTCCCCCAGTCCCCCCTACCCTGCTCCCTCCTTACTGGGTCCGAGTCTGACTGCAGCTCCCCGCTGCAGCCACCGGGGACTGTTCAAATCATCGAAGCTCTCCAAATGTTTTCCAAAGATTCGGAGAGCTTCGAATCATTTAGGACCTTTTAATTGGTCCCCTGATTCAATTCGGATTTGGCGATTCGGCCACCAAATCAGGCCGAGCCTCCTCTGAATCAAATCACCACCCAAAGCTTCAAACAGCCCTACTAGTGAGTAAATAGTGATATTCTCACATTAAAAAAATAGCGCATAAGAGACAAGACCTGACTTTTGACATGCTTGACTGTTTTTGTCCTTTATGGACCATATTGTTGTTAGCTATGTTTACTTTAACCTATTATCAAGGGTAGGCAGGAGCATTTTCTTGCTCCATCTTCCCATCCTAAACTTCCTCCTCAAAAAAGTCTAAAATATTTAGATTCTTCACTGTCGTTTGTTGATGGTGATGTAAATATGAAAGAAAGTGAAGAGCTTAAAAGTCAAATGCATAACTAATCTTGTAAGTGTAAACCTTTTATTTTTTAATTTTTTTATTTACAAGGATGTGGAACTAACAGCCAGCATCTTAAGTGAATTTTACTTTTCCTGCTGTAGCCGGGTTGGAGCTTTGTTGCTTTTCTATCTTGAATGCGAGATCAATGTCCTCTGCAAGTTACCATCCTCTGCAAATTAGCTTCCAAGAGAAATTAAAGCAAAACCCACCAAGCAAGACTCAGCTATTGTAGGTCCAGTAAAAAGATATCACCCAGAACAATCCTTGCCACTCACATATTTCCTGAGCCACCTCTCCAACACTACTAAAATATGTTTTCAGAAGCTTAAGTTTAGAAAAACCATGTTCTCTGCTTGTGACAGATGCCAGCAAGTTTATTAGAACCCAGAGTGCAATGGATATGTTTGGTAAAAAGGACAAAAGCTTATTTTTGCACAGAAACTCCAATGTGGCTGTTGGGCATGTTCCAGGGTTCAGCTGCCTGCCAAGAACTTGAAGCTCATTACAAAGATCCAGGGCATTTAAAGTCTTCATCATGCTGTCCATTTCTTAAGACAGTGCATTATTTGTGTAATTCTTTGTGGGGCATTTTTAATTTTTCAGACAACTCCTGTAGAAAAATGGACAGCTATGGTACTCTGTAAATCATAAAAATCTTTCTGTGGCTGGCTATGGCAGTATTAAAAATAACAGAAAAAATGACTTTATAATTCTTTTTAGTTTTAGTTAATTGTTCATCTCTGGCCTCTTAATCAAACCTTATCTTTTTATTTCAGACTCTTAAATTGAGTTTTCCTGTGGAAAGGTAGCTTTGATTTTCCAGCTCATCAATTCCACTTTCCAGTCTCACTTCACTTAAGAATTTTGGAAGCAGATTATCACATGTTGGTGCATTACATCTGAACACTGCAGTGAGATTACAGAAAATATAAACATTCAAACCCCAGTGAAAAATACTTCAGTTTCAATGCAGCGACTTCCAACATCATTGAATAGGAGACTCAAAGAATGTGATTTACATGGGGCAGAAGTGCTCTTTTGTTCAGATCTTGAATGCTCTTCTGAACAATTCTTGTTTGCTTTTCCTATTTGCCATGTTGTCTAGCTTTGATCTTTCAGATCATAGAGTGAGATTTGTATTTCTGTTTGCTCTTCAAGGAGAACTTCTGGCATTCCAGTGCCTACAGTATGTCGTATTCAAAGATCCAATAAAACATTCTTTGATTATAACAGTGCCTTCTCTTGTCCTAGTTCCTGCTTCTGCAGAAACAAAATTAGCAGTCATTGTTGTCTGCTCTTCTTGCAGCTGAGGATGATAAAATAATTCTTGGCAGCGTTCAAAGCCAGAGTTATTTCCACAAAATTTGAATAATTTCTTTTAGATTTTTTTTTTCAGGTAATGATTATTAATTTCCTTCAAGATGGAATTCATTGGAGATGCACTTTCATCATCAGAGAATTCTTTCTAAAATTTAACATGTTTCACAGCTTTCCCAGAGCAGGAGGAATAAAACTTATCTGATTGTCCCAGGGGAACATTTTCTAGTCCTTGTAGCCTGATCAAATAAAAAAGCATTTCTAAACAGCTTGCCAGCATTCCAGAAGAGAATTAATTTGATGTTTGTATCATTTGTCAAAACACACACACACAATCTTACTTAAATCTCTCCACATATGATAAATGGTCACATGATCTCCTGAGTTCTTATGTTTTGTTAGGATATTCGGTAATTTTTTTCAGTTTTGAACTCTATTTTAAGATAAAGGAAAATCTCTGAAACTAAACTACTTGCGGAAGAAGCAAGAAACAGAAACAGCTGAATCATTGGCTCAAGAAGTTTTTCTTGACTATACTGCTGTCTAAGTAAGGCTTGGCACTGATGTCCTTGGAGACCCCAAATGCTTTCCATCACCATTTTATATGATGAATGTCTCCCTGTCAGTCAGGTGGGTGACAACAAGTTGGCAGCCAGGACTTTGGTCACTCATGGCCACTTTTTTCCTGGTAGAAAGCATTCTTTTCCCTTTAGAAAACTTTTGTAAACAGGTAAGAATCCCTCCCACTGTCAGCACCTCCTTCCTTTCCCTTCCATGCTCAGCAATACCTCCCATTCCTCTGTTTCCCACTTACCACTGCTGCTGTCTTGAGCTGACCCAGGGGCAGGGAGAGCTCCAGAACCACTCCTGTTCTGCTCCAGCCAGACTGTGCAGGGATCTGGGCTCAGCTGGGCACACAGGTCATGGCAGGAGGGTTCCTCTTCCCAGCCCGTTTACTTCAGGTGTTCCTCACCAGCCTGGGAGCAGGTACAAGGAAAGGGGAACTTCCCTGCTGCTGCCACTGTCCCCAGACAAGGCTGGCTCTCTATGCAGCCCCCATGCAACCCAGCTGGAGCAGGGTAGTGGGATAGAAGTGGCCAAGACAACAACAGTGGTGAGGGGTTCTCCCCTTTTTGCACAGAGGCATAAGTAAAGAGAATGAAGGGGGTGGAGGGAAGAGGGAAGGTGCTGCTGAGTTTGGAGAGGAAGAGAGGGGATGCCAAGTGTGGGGTGAATAATTCTTACCTGTTTCAGGGGCTTAAAAGAAGTCTCTGGCTGTTGTTCCCACAGTGTGGTCTGCCTACCTATCTGGAACAGAGAAACTGGGAGTGGAGGGTGTAGCCACCCCTACTGTGCTGGTCACTGCTCCTGCACCCCTGTTTTTAAAATCCTGGATCCACCTTTGGAACTGAATGTGTTGTCACCTTTGTGACTTTCCATTATTTGAGCCTGTCCAACAGAGGCAGCTCAGGCTTGCTTATATCCTGCCAGTGTGCCTCAAACCTGACCTGACACCAGTACTGGGGAATGATAAAAGTGGGAAATCTCTGAACCTATTCATCCCAGGGGATCCTCACTCAGACAGTGAAGCAGTCATGTAGTGCCAGTAGGGATAGTAGTTTGCCTCCCAGGATGACTCATGCCCACCTGCAGGCCCCCCATGGGTGAATGATGAAGGTCAGGTGACAACTGTTGGATTGTTTCATCCCTTTGTAAATGGTCTTTGAGCTCTCCAATACAGCATCAGGGCTTGGTCCTGCTCCCAGAAGAGTCCAAAGCGACACTTCAGTAGGTGTGGGAATGGACTCTTAGTAGTGCCTGAGCCACAGCAATCCCTTTTTGAAAATGTTTATTCCAGGTGGTGAAGAGAGAGCTAGAGAAGACGCTCGTTATTGAAGATGATGTGCGCTTTGAGCATCAGTTTAAGAGGAAGCTCGTGAAACTGATGGATGATATTGAACGAGCGCAGCTAGACTGGGAGCTCATGTAAGTGACGTTTCTTCTGAGAGCTTTCACTGCTGTCGACCAAATGGGAATTCTCCCTCTGCATCCCCTTTCCAATCATGCGCATATTGAGTATTTTAACAATGCAAATGTAGCAGACCTCAGATCATAATTATAATTAGAAAAGGCTGCCTGTAGTTTACTGGAAAAGCACACTGGAGGCATAAGTTTTCAGTCAGCAAACGGGTTCATCTTCAAAGGGGCTTGTGTGGATAAAGCTTTGATAAAACAAAGCACGTTGCAGGTACTGCCCTCTTTAATGAAGAGCTGCATCCAGTGGTATAGGAATGAGTTCAGGAAGGAGTTGAGTTCCCACTGAAGCATTCCCCCTTTGGCCTAAGAATACATGTGCTCACTATAAGGCTGGGAGAAGAACAGAGGGTTTGAATCCTTTTGTTTACTCATATAAGAAAAAGCTGATTCCAAAAGAGCATCAAAGGGAACCCTGCAAGCTCGCCAGCAAATGTACTTTGCCAGAGACCTGTTCCAGCCTGAGTTCATTGCCAGTGATGTTCAGCACTAGTGTGCAATCTCCAAGAGGCTCTGCATTAGGTCATTTAAAGAAGAAGCTGAAGACCTTGCAGAATTGTTCCTCTCTCAGGACGTTTTTTATCAGTCACTGAATTTGGTGTTCTCCATCACCCTAGACACACATCCATACTTGAGTCCAGTACTTCTTGCGTACCATAGACAAGAGATTTGTTTTCAGATAAGTCATCTCTGTACTGTGCCCCAACCTTTTGACAGTTGACTGATGGAACCATAGCCAGAAGCTCCTGGGAGTCTCCAAACAGTCCTCCAGTATTTCACCGGGTGTACTTTCAGTTGAGAGTGGGTTGTATTCTCTGTGTTCCTCTGGATTAATATGAGGCCAGTCATGGGGTAGGAAATTCCATAAGCTGCATTTGGATCGTGAGATGCACTTAAGTGAAATGACTGGTTTAGAGCAGGAAGGCCTGAGGTCCTAGGCATTGTACACTTGCACTGTGAAGCCAACCCTGGAAATGGGCCTTATATTCATTGCCCTGGATTTCTGCCTTTCAGCTACATTGGACGGAAAAGGATGCAGGTAGAACGGCCTGAAAAGGCAGTTCCAAATGTAATGAACCTTGTGGAAGCAGATTATTCTTATTGGACGCTGGGATATGTAATCTCCTTGCAAGGGGCTCAGAAGTTGATTGGAGCTGAACCTTTCAGCAAGATGCTACCTGTAGATGAATTCCTGCCAGTCATGTACAACAAGCACCCTGTGTAAGTAAATCATGCTTTTAGCTTGTGAAGCCTACCTGCTTTGTATGCACTGTCTGGCTGTAGGATCTTGAATTGGATCCCATATTGCCATTTCTACAGTGTATCTCCGTGTTGACCTGGCTGGTGGAGAAGGGGACTGGGTATTTTGGTCCTTGGATGTTGCCAGCTGTTACAAATGTTGGGCAAATTAATTGATATTTCTGTGCCAGAGTTTCTGTTAAATGGGTATAACAATGCCTACCTCAGAGAGGCCTTGTGAGACTGACTGATTGATTTTGAATCTGATCTTTAGATGGAAGTAACTGTAGCAGTATGTGGTTATGGTTATTTAGGTGATACCTTATTTGGAGCCTCTAACTTGTTTGCAGGGCCTGGACAAGATCTCCAGGCAACCTAGAGCATTTTTAAAAAAATGCCCGTGCATAAGAGTCCTTGCTGTTGTCTTTTGATTTCATTGTGCTACATTGTTTAGTGTTTTTTTATTGCAAAAGTGTGTGTGTGTGTGTGTGTGAAGGAGTAGTGATTGTGAACCAACGTTCAGCCAGAATTGTAAACATTATCCATTTGTTTGTGGAAAGTGTGCATTTTGTCATCTAGAGACAGTCAGGCTGTCTAAATATCTTGGAAAGTGATGTAAGTGTCAAGGGTCAGGAGGATTCTCTTTAAGGATGGTCTACATTTTGTAGAAAGTTTCTTTCATGTACCATAATGCTCCCACTAACTGTCTAGCTACCCACTGTGACATCTTACCAAAACAATTTGCAGTGCCACATCTGTGGTCTCTCTTCTCAACAAGTAGAACTCTGCCCCTGTGTCCACACATTTTTGTCTTCTAAGAACATATCTAAGACAGGCCTTTGTTCTCCTTTTGACACCTCATGCCCATCATTGGATATTTGATTCAGTTGACATTGGCTGGGTGCATCACTTGGCCTTATCTGCACCAGTAACAGTTCCTCTGATGGTAGCAACTCAGGCTACTACTGGGTTGTCTGGACCACCTGTAAGCAAGGTTAGCATATGTGTCACTTAAAACACCAGCAGCCGGTTAACAGTAGTATTTCCACTACTGTTAACATCAGGAAGCTTCACTAGGGAGTAATGGGAGGCAATTTTAACACCATTGGTATAGCTACAGCCTTTTATGTCTGCCTTCTCTTAAGGGGATTTTTCAAAAGTATTCAGGAATGATCTTTCTTGATTCCCACTGAAATCATTGGTATTAGTCTTAGTACTGGGAGACTTTCTGTTTACTTCAGTGGAAACGTTTCTTTTAGAAATCCCATACACAGTTGATTTGGGAACTTATTGAAAAAATTCAGAAGCTGCATGTCCAAAGGCTTTCACAACTTGCACTGTCCCAGGGCTCGCCATTACCATAAAAACTTCTCCAATTGGAGCCAAAAGTCAATTTTGCTTCCTGCCATTCTTGTCTCGTAGCATGCTACCCGTGTCTCTCTCCAGAGAGGGTTAGTTCTTAACTGACAGGAGAAGTGTCTGGTTTCTGAAATGCCTCAGTGCAAGGTTGTCCTTATCTGACCATGTAAAGATCATTTTTTCTGAAAAGTGGTAATTGTGTTCCTACCTTTTTGTACAGTTCAGCCTTAAATTATTTGCCCAGGTCCTATGAGAAGAATGTAAGCTTGCCAACCTGTCAATGCTTAGTAGACTGGCTTGTAAGCCATGAAAAGGCAAAGAGAGTCTAGTGATGCTGAGCAAGTGTTGTTTCTGCTAGTAATATTGTTTTCTCATCTTCAGAACGAAGTACATGGAGTATTACGAGTCCAGAGACTTGAAAGCCTTCTCGGCAGAGCCCTTGCTTATTTATCCAACCCATTACACTGGGCAGCCAGGTTACCTCAGTGACACAGAAACCTCCACTATCTGGGACAATGAGACGGTATCCACTGACTGGGACAGAACACATTCTTGGAAATCCCGGCAGCAAGGCAAGATCCACAGTGATGCCCAGAACAAAGATGCCTTGCCACCACAATCATCTCTTGACACATCATCATCAAGGGATGAACTATGACTCCCCAGTTTGCTGTGTGACTCTAACCACCGCTAACCCTGCCTCATACTTAAGGTTTCTCCTAGAAGCTTGTAGAGCTGTTAACATGGTCTCCATCTTATCATCTTTAATGCAAAAGCAAACTGAGTTGAGCCTGGTCTCTTCTTTCTGGGTTTGGAGTTGAACCAAAATGTTCCAGGCTGCCAGAAGAACAGAGACTTCTAAAAAAGCATAACACAAACTGCAGTCCATTCTCACGTGGACTTGTAATGTCGACACTTCCATGGAGCAATGAGCTGGCTCCATGGCTTGCTGCGTTTACATGAATAATCACAAAAATTCCTTGAATGACGACTTTCTACAGTTCCTTGTGTAGAATACTGTATTTATAAAGATTAATATATAGGGGCTATGAGTGGATAAGCATAATACCTTTTTACATAGATGTTACCGTGCTGCTGCGTAACACTAACTGTTGTAGGTTTGTGGTTTTTGTAACCCCTTTCTCCAAAAGAAGCTGCAGCTGTGGTGTGTGTGTGTATTGGGCTGGGGGGAGTTTCTTTCTTTTTTTCTTTTAAAAGGATCAGAGTCAAGATCAAAATGACTTTCCAAAGTGTCTGCCTCTGTGTTAATTTCAACACTTCAGAGCAGTAATTCTCAGCGTTTTCTGTAATGTGGCCTTTCCCCCCCACCAAACTCTCTCGATTTGAGGATTTCTTTCCCGTAAATTTAGAAATCTCTGAATCCCATGCACCCAGGGAAAAAGAAGGGTGTTTGAAAACCCTGAAACCTGTGTACAGGCTCCAGAATCAAAGCCTTAGCTTGAGAACTGATGCCTTAGCTTACTAAAGCTGACAGCTATTTAAAGATCCAGTGTCCCTGTCACCTCTTACAAAATTTGCTTACTGAATAGTGAAGCAAAATCAGTCAGACTTACTTCCTGTTTCTTGGATTTCCTTCCCAATTAATATATTCTCCCCCCCCCCCCCCCCAAAAAAAAAAAAGCTTTCACTCACATATATGTCTTAAAAATATTTCTATGCATTTGGAGCTTAAACTACTTGACAGTATTCATTTTAAAAGAAAAAAATGAAAATGTTAAGTGTCAACTCTACAATTCATTGTTTGAGAGCCTCATTAGAATTGTATAATACAAGACAAAAAGGCAACTTGCCTTTTGTGTATTTTTAAATGTGAGGAGCAAGCTTATCCTTTTTTGGATGAGTTCTTCTATACTCGAAATTGGCTAAAATGTCAGCATGGTAAATCATCTATTTTATAAAAGGGTCCCATAATTCAGGTGATTATATACTACATTACTTAGATTTAGCTGATGGTAGGTTAGATCTTTTTCTATACAAGATGAAGAACTGAGGAAAAAAGACCTCCTGGATTTAAAATTCTTTAGATTGTGTCAGCTGCTGGATGATCTGTACATTTGAGTGCGCGGTTATTTTTTATTTTGTGGGGTTTTTTTACTAAATGCTGATAATGTTGTGCTCTTTCCTAAAAGAAAACATATATTACTTCCTATCAGCAGGTCTGATAATACATAGATCTCAGATGCAAGATGTTTGGCTATGTGTAGTCTTAATTTGCGTGGCATGATCTCTGATTCTTGAATTCCAGCATGGTTTCCTCTGACTGTGACTGGTGACTGACCAAGGATTGAATTCACCACACTGGTTTGGGATCAACTCCAATGCAGCAACTAAGGTATTGCTCAATGAAAGGAACACTCAAAAATGCATTTTGGAGTATGTGAGCTCTCACTGGGGGAAATGGGAAACTTGAACTTGACTTTCCAGGGAAGCCAGTCCCATGATGGAGTTGATTTTGTCTGCATCCAGGTCACACAGACATATCTGAAACTGCCTGATGCAGTCTAATCAACCTTTTTAGACTCAAGTCACCCCTTGCAAAATGTCATCTCATTTTTTTGACTGTGGAAAAATAGAGCAAATCTTCTCTTGTAAAGACCTCAGACAGACTATAACAGGTCAGAATGTTTTTGACACTGTTATTTCCTATTTGAAATATCTGGGTTTATTGTGTGTAGGTGTTTGCACAACTAACAGCGGTAATATTAAGAGTCTCCCTCCAGCACCCTAAAAGGATCTTCTGGCACCTTGGTTGAGAATTGCTGACATGGGGCATAAGAGTAGGGGGTCTTCCCTGGGCCTTAGTATATGATTTTGGAGAGGCAGGGGGTTCCCCTTTGTGAAAACTCCATTGCCATAATCAGGTCTTTGTTTTCTAGACAGCTGTGCTTGCATCAGCTCCATTTACAGCCTGGGCAGCTAGCAGGTGTCAGTGTTCACTAATAAACTGCTTGCCTTGTAGCGTATTTAAAAAAAACAAAAAACATTAAAACGATGTATTTGAAAAACTTAATCAAATTGAAGTTAGTAGTCTTTCTAATCATCAGAAAGGGCTCGTCTTGACCTGAGTGAAATCAGTAGGAAACTTGATGTAGTCTTCAGTAAGGGAAGAGGGAGGCATTTTTGTGCCATCCTCGTTTTAGCAGCATTGAACCAGAATGTCAGTTTGGAACCCTAATGGGAGTTGAAACTAATGGAAGGTATAATGGCCTCAAAAACAGGGGGGAAAACCATGCAGAATTCAGCTTTTTTTGCATATAATTGTGGGCATGAATATGGCATCACAAATATTTCACTGAATTTCAGATTTCCCTCAGAGATGGGATGCATTTTAAATGTAGGTGGCTTTGCATAGGAAGTGTATGGAAATATTGAGATATGCACCTTTTACACCGGGACCATCTCAGTTCCCTTTCATTTCAGAGGTAAAGCTGCCTTTGATGGAAACAGAGGATAGGACACGTTGCTGGTCAGACACATCTCCGTTGTATATGTTCAGTACTGGCATGTTCCGGTCTTGGTGACAGTAAAGAAAACAGCAGCAGAATGTTAGAGAGAGACGGGTGTCTTAGTGCTCTCTGTCCACCATTCTCTAGGCCAGTTATTTCCAAATTTTTTGCAATGGCCACTGTCAACTTTCAGTATTTTTCACTCCACCTTTTGCTTTTATCATTAAACTTTTAATTGGCAGGGAAGGCGGTCTTGTGCAATTGTGGATCATGTTTTGGGAACCACTGCTCTAAGATAAGTGTCACTTCCTCTGAATATAGAAGCTGCTGTTGTGAGTACATATAAGTCCAACATAACTCTTATTCCTTCCTTAGCCACTTACCTAATATAATTTTGTTTGATGATCAGGCCTGAAGTGTCATACAGCCATAACCACAAGTTGAATCAAGGGTTTATGATGAAGGCTTGAACAAACAGTATGTTGTAGTATAGTGTACATAGAGATACTGCTTTGCAAGCTAAGTGTTTGTGTCTCACAGGCAGATGTTGAACACTTCTTGGTAGTGTATATGTATATGTACATATACACTACCAAGAACACTACACTGTAATGTATATGTACATATACACTACATATATCATACGTATATATATATATATGTATCCTCCATAATAGCCCAAACAACTTTGGAGAAAACTCATTGGAAATTGTTGGGTATTAATTTCTCTGAAGAGTCTGGCAACGACGAAGCCATAATAAACTCAGAAGTAGGCTGCTTGTTCTCTATGCCTGCTTTCTGTCTCACTTGTTTCCCAAATACCAACTGTTATCTGTGAAAAATGGGATGAGGAACAAATCATTAAAAAAAAAACAACCCTCTATTTTCTTAGTTTCCTACTGCAATTTTCTGAGCAGCAGTTTGGAGCCCTGACACCAGTGTCATTCAGTAGCTAACTGTCTGGTTTCATTGGAATTATTTTCACTTTCCCTAGCTATGTCTCAACACCTGACAGCTGCTTGAACATTCCAGGGCCAGCCACATGAAAAAACACCATCTAATTCCTAATGTTATCGTAATTTTGGTAAAATATTAAAGGAATGTTGAATCAAAGGTATGAGGAAGAAAAAGTAGCAATAGGGTTGAAAATAGATCTTGCTAAGAAGCATTCTGACTTTTGAAAAGAGATCTTATTCATGAGAGAATAACTTTTTTTAAAAGACTACCTTTAATAGGAATTTTTAGCTAATAAATATTTTGCTGCCTTAAAGAATAGAAAAATACATGTTTTAATTGTATACATTTGGCCATCTAAAAGTCCAGGTTCTACCGCCATTAATACATTGTGCGGACGCTTGTCTATGCTTTATGTAACATACTGTATGGATAAAAACCAAAACTGACCAAACACATTTGTGCACTGATTCTGCTAAAATACAATGAAAATGGAACATCTTTTGTACATGCGTGTAAACTAAGGACATGTTCTGAGTCTTTGTTTGGAACCAACCGTCTTCACTTTCGAACAAAAGCACAATTTGGAATTAAGATATTCAGACCAGAGAGAGCACGTTGCTATTTAAAACAGAATAATTATTTATCTAGTGCAAAACACTAGGACTTTTTAGGATACTCACTGATATCTCAAGTCTTTTCATAGTTCTTTACTAAGGTATTGTAGCCCCAGGTTTGAAAAAATAGTACTGCAGAACTGGTAAAACACTCTCCAGAGTTATGTAAAATTCATTATCTGAGTTTATTAAAATAAACATTAATATTTTAAAAAGAAAATGTATTCTGCAAGTGTTGCTTACAATTCAATATTTCATTTATGGCTTTTAATTAAAAACTTCAATGAAGCTTGTGTTCTGGAGAGACTGGCATCACAGAGTTCAGAAATGCATGTTTAAAGTTTCACAGAAAATACCAGATGTGGAAGCCTCTACAGAAGGTTAAATGCCTTATTCCATCTGGAAGGATGTACCATGTCAGGAAATTGTTTATAGACTAAGGGCAGACATTCAGGAGAGTTCAAAATGGCCATCTAATCTAACTTAATTTGCCCTGGGTGTGGACCTTACATTCAAACCCTGTCTCATTGATTGGAAATCAATCTAAACCTGTAATAGTAGAAAAGTTCTGCAACACAGACCAGACTAAAAATAGTGAGACCTGGTCTAAGACAGACCTAGATGAATGTACTATCAGACTTTCTCAATCTAGGTTAGACCTCAGTGTGGGTACAGTTACTTGCACAGCCCTGGCACTGGATTATTTTTACCCCGCTCCCCCCACAAATCCCCATCGTGCACACTGCTCTAGTTGCCACCATTATCAGTGTTCACCACTGCCGAGAGCTGAGCAAGTAAGTATCGGTGAGGGAAGGAGTCAGGGGGATGGGGCTGCAGGTTCGCCAGGAGGGCTGGGGGCTAAAAATAGACCCTGGTCCTTGCAAATCCTCCTGATCCTGCCAAACCTTCCTGGACCCAGGAACCCCCTGCAGATCCCACCTACCCACTGATCCCTCCCGTGGAATGTGCCTGCCCCCCCACCCTCCAACAGGTTGTGCCTACCCATTCCCCCCATGGATTGCACCTGACCCTCATTCCCCCACCCATCCACCCATGGATTGCACCTGCCTCCCTACCCTCCCACAGATTGTGCCTGACCCTCAGTCCCCCACGCATTCCCCTGTGGATTACACCTGCCCTCCCACTCCCCCTCTGCAGATCATGCCTCCACCCCCCATCCCTCTGCAGACACCACATGCCCCCTGACCCTCTGCAGATGCCCCCCCCCTATCTAGGGTTACCATCCATCTGGGTTGGGAGTGAGGGGCACCAGCAAGGCTGGGGGAGGTCAGGAGTGAGGGCCACCAGCAGGGCTGGCAGGAACAGGGGGCTGTGGGTCAGGAGTGCAGGGCACCGATGAGGCAGGGGGTGGCAGGGGGCTGCGAGTCAGGTGTGAGAGGCACCAGCAGAGAGCAGGGAGCCTTGGGTACAGAGTGGGGGGCACCGACAGGGCTGGGGGGGGACAGGGGGCTGCGGGTTGGAAGTGAGGGGCAGCAGGGAGCTCTGGGTCAAGAGTGAGGAGCACCAGCCAGCAGGGCTCCGGGGTGGGAAAGGGGCTGTGGGTCAGGAGTGAGGGGCACTGGCAGGGCTGGGGGTCAGGATATATACCCCTTCCCCTCCCCTGCCAGGTGTCCTCTTTTTTGAAACTGGAAATATGGTAATCCTACCCGTATACCTCCCACGGATCATGCCTACCCACCTTTTTCCCCTTATCCCTCCCAACCCTTCTGCCTGCCCACCATCCTTCACATGGACTGCACCTACCCCAACACCTCCCACTCATGCTACCCCCCATCCCTCTGGCTCATCAAGCCTGCCCCCATATCCTCCATGAATTGTGCTTGCTCCCGCATTTGCCCCCCATCCCTCCCATGGATCATACCTGACCTCCTAACCCACCCTGGGAATCATAGCTGCACCCCCACCATATTGCCCCTGCCTCCCTACCCCCTGCAGACACCACCTGCCCCCCAATCCCTCCCGCTCATCGCTTCTGCTCCCCTATTCCCTATGAATTGAGCCTGCCCCCCATCTGCCCACATATCACACCTGCCCCTCCCCACGGATGCCTCCTGCTCCCCATTCTCCCTACAGGTTGCGCCTGCCCCCATCCCTCCCGCAGATCCTGCCTGCACCCCAATCTCCCCCAGCATGCTTGTCCCCCAGCTCTCCCCACTAGCCTCCCCATCCCGCCTTACCTTACATTGGGTGGCTTTTTTTAATGCAATTTAACCTCCCCCTAACCCTCCTGGATGTCTTTACTTAGTTGTAACAGATGCATATAAAGAAGGCAGTGGCTGTAGATTCCTCAAAATATTGCTACAAATATATAAGATCTGTGGTCATTTTGGACACTGTAATAAATATGTCTGTCTTCTCTTTTTTTTAAACAAAAGGTAATATAGTTACCTCTCACAGAAACAAAAATGCCTGTGTGGACTAGTGCAGGTAAAGAGCTCTGCACCTGAAGAGTGATTGCACGTTAAAAAGAGGTACGTCAGGGAATCTGGAGTACTTGCAACTGTACATGCAAAAGGCCTCGATTCCTGTTAAATAGATTAGCTAAGCATAAGGAAAAACACAATGTAGTGGCATTAAGACAGGGACAAAGTCCAGAGAAATAGTGTTTTTGAGATTCCTTGCCTTGTTCGTTAACAAAACATGACATTCATCCAAAAGCAAGCATGGCCCAATATCCTAATGCTCTTTGGAAAAATCCCAAAATGTATTTTCTGGCTTTGAACAAGTGCAAAATAGTTTGTCAGCTGTGTGAAACAAACACACACAATTGCATTTTCTGTTGTGTTTTGAAAGACAAGTGTTTTGAGAGGGCATCAAGCCTTCTTTTTCACTGACGCGAATGCCTCTCAGAGGCAGCAATTGTTAGACAGGATGATAAACTAGCAACCTTTCAGCTCATCCACACCCTTTGGAAATTGGTGTTATCATTCAGCTAAGGGCTGGTTGTGTCGTCCTGTTCAATTCAGGTGAAATTTTATTGCGATTTTTCTTCTCTAGTTCATAAAAAAATAAATTTTCAAGTCCTTGTTGTAGTTAATACTGGCACAAAGGAGAAACGTTTTCCTAGGAGAAGAGTTAGTTTACGAGGAATTCTTAAGATGAGGTTTGTTGTTCCAATTTTCCCTGTAAAAATGACCTCACCTTCCTAGGCTAATGTGCAAAAAATATTTCCATAGTCTAGACTGTCCCATAAGTCTTTTGCCGTCCACCTCTATACTAATAGAGGGAAAGAGATGTTTCTATCTGTATTATAGTGAATGCTCACTTTGCATTCCAGATTTGAATACTGATACATTCATCTGCTGTGATTTTGTAATACTGGATGGTATCAAAGGTCCATATCAAAATCGAATCTCCTTTGTGTTAGCTCCTTCTCTTCAAAATGCGATTTTGCTGTGTCTGTTACTCCAGCACCCCCGCTGGGCCGTCCTAGGGAGTGTCAGGCTAAATTGGCTCCTCTTTTTCACTTGTCCAAAATCCCATGGTCCAAAAATTAAAGGCGGCTTTTTTCGTAGCATGAAGTCAAAATTCACCTGGCTGTTCATGCCATAGAACACATTAGCGTTGTCTGGGAAGACTAACTCTGCAGAAAGAGGAAATAAAAGAAGTGTTAATTGCTGTACTATGGATAGTAGCACTACAAGCAAGCACAAAAAATTTGTGAGCATTGGGGGGTGCATTTTGGCTATGCACATGCCCCTTTGAAGTCTAATTATGTTCTTTAACATGGTTTTTACTAGTTATAACATCTACTTTTCCATCAGCAAAAGTATGCGAAGATGTAGTACCATCCAAATTCATGCATCTGAAAGTTTGATAACACCAGATTTACCCGTGCACTAAATGAATCAGTAGCATAATGTATACACACAGGGTTTTAAATTTAGGTTGAAAGGCAATCATTAGACTTGCTTTCTTAATGCATCATTTCCATGTGTGGCTTTGTAGAGCTTGCATGTGTTGGGTTCTTTATTCAACAAATAGGTAAAGACAAATTCTTTTACATTCAGCTGAGACAACCCCTTCACTTCACCAAGAGCCGGGGTTGAACCTTACCTTTCAGCATCAGAATAGGTTGCTACTACATGAGCTTACAGATAACTGTCTGCTAGCAATGGGAGAGAGCTGTTTTCCAAAAATGTGTGTGTACGGGGAAAGGGAACAGAGGGGGATTGGGTTGCTGGGTCCCAGAGGTGAGCAGAAGGAAGCCTTGTTTAGCCCGGCTTTTCCCCCTCCCTTTGTATACTCTTTCACTTTAATGGTTCTGACAGAGCCCTGGTAATTCCAGTGCAGGGCCTAATACTGTTGCTTATTTGATGGTGGTGATAGTTTGGCCTCAGAATGGTCAGTGGTTTATGGTAGACTCTCCTGCCACTGAAGATAATAGGCAGGCTTAGGGCTTGCAAAACACTGTGAGAGTAAAATGCATGCAATCAAGTAGTCCTCTGCGAAGGTGAAGCTATTCTATGAGTAATGCACTGTATTTATACAGTGCATTAGGACATACAGTAATTTATACAGGCCCAATAGGGTCTTTGACCATAAGTACAGCTTTTGGCATTACAATAGTACAAATAAATAGTTAAGTTTAGCATGGGCATGCAAAAACTCAAACAGCTGGTGGGCAGGATCCCATGGAAAGTAAGTTTAAAGGAAAAAGGAATAGGGAGAAGTTGGTTGTACCTTAGAATATTAAGGGCACTAGGATATGGTATCCCTGTGTGAGGAAGGTTAAGAATCATGTCAACAGGCTGGCTTGGCTAAATAGCAAATGCTTCTATGACTTGAAACTTAAAAAGGAATTTTTCAAAATGTAGAAATGTAGCTACAATACAAGAGATGAAAATAAAGGAAAAATTCAGGCAGGCCAAGGCACTGCAAAACAGCTAGTACGAGTCAAAAAGCAACAAAAAGATTTCTGTAAAGTTGGATGTAAAAGACCAAAGGAAGTGTAGGCCCGTTACTGATTGGGGAAAGGTAACTAAAATTACACAATATGGAGAAGGTGAAGTGTTTAATGACTTCTTATTTCAGTCTTCATGAAATTTGTCCTAGAGGTCTCAAGGAACATTTAGTAAATCTGCAGATGACACCAAGCTAGGTAGGATAATAGAGGCTCTAGAACAGAGGTTCTCAAACTGTGGTCCACAAGCTCCATTCAGGTGGTCCGCAGAAAGGTTGCGGAACAATCGAGAATAGCTGTACTTGTAAAGTAAGACTACTGATATTAAAATATGAGTTGTGCACTTTCATTTGTAGAACAAAAAAAGTTTATTAAGTGGTCCACCAAGACCCTCAGCAATTTTCAAGTGGTCCGTGAAAAAAAAAAGTTTGCCAACCACTGCTCTAGAAGATAGGTTCAGGATTCTAAATGACCTTCACCAATTGGAAAATGGTCTTAAATTAAATAACAATATAGTAGTACAAGCTAAATATGAGGCAACAGTATAATACTATTACAAAAAAAGAAAAAGAACAATAGCATTATACTATATATTCAATTATATTGAGCATTGGTGAGGCCTCAGCTGGAGAACTGTAGCCAATTTTGGGCATCATGCTTCATGAGAAACAGACAAATTGGAAAGAGTCCAGAGAAGAGCAACAAAAATGAGGAAAGGTCTAATATTTTCCTACACAGGAAAAGTTGGAAGAACTGGATTATTTAATCTGGAGAAGATGGAGGGGGTTTTATAAGTCTTCAAAAAGGGTTGTTACTTATAAAGAGGATCTATAGTTTTCTGTGACTATAGGGGGGTATAGTAATAGGCTTAAATTCCAACAAGGGAAATTTAAGATGGGCATTAGGAAAAACTTCCTAACTCTCAGGTGGTGAAGTAATGAAACAGATTACTGAGAGAGATTGTGGAATCTTTGTCATAGGTAACAGGTAGGTAGTTTTTAAATGCAAATCAGACAACTATTTGTCTATGATGTTTTAGATAATGATGATCCTGCCTTGAGCAGAAGATCTGGACTAATAACCTCCTGAGGTCTCTTCCAGCCTGATTTTTCTATATTTCTATGTTTGTCTGTAAAATCTAGACCTAAATTAAAACTTGACTGGTCTCTTCGTGGGTAGATTTGACTATACAGAAGGACTGTTTCTCATGGCAAGCACTGCACCATCTTCAGCACTAAGCATGCTGCCAACACTTTATATACTGAGCCCTAATAAGGTACTTCATGGAGAAAAACTATCTGGAAAGCAACCAGGGAGCTGTGTGTGCAAAACAGCATACTAGCAGGAAAGAGAACCTTCCAGGATGAGCATGTTAAGGATTTTTTCTCAATAAATAGCTTCCCCGTGTAGCTGTCGCAGGAATCTTTATAGCAGTCTAGACTAATTTGACTATCACAACTCTAAATAAATCCTTCCTGTGCAGTCATGTAATGTCCCATTGGATTTGTCCCGTGCTGGGGGAAGGGGAAGGATGGAATGTCTGGCATGCTGTCAGACAGTAGTGATGACATGGTTGTCAGAGATATGCTGTGCAGCAACAGAGAACAATCCTAGGGAAGGATTCAGAGCTTTCCTAGTGCAGTGATTTCCTGAGAGAGGTTATAGCTAAAAATATGAACGCACAACACTGACATCTTATTTCCATATTCCTTTTGCATCAGTTCCATTTACAAGTTAAAACAAGCTGCTTGACATGGCAGGCTTGGAAACTAGTAGGGTTCTGAAAAGCTTGTCTGGGCTCTTTCTGCTTCTTCCATCCATCACCAATAATAAAGATTCTCTGCTCAGACTGTAACAGGGAGCCTCTCAGTGCTGGCCACCCGCCTGTCCCTGGGCTAACCCCCCCAGCCAAACTTTCCTGCCATGCCTTGATGATAAAAATATGACAGTTGATACTAAGGTGGGAGGCTGCCCATTGCTCGTCCTGTTGACAAGGGCCTCTGAACATGCTCCAACCTCCCCTTACACATGTTGCACGCCTCACACATGTTTCTCAGCTAGCCGGCACTGGGACCCGAGCTCCAGAGTCTCACGTGGGACTCTCACTCCCCACTAGAGCTGGTGGTCCCAGCACCCTCATGCTGGGCTCATTCTTATGTCCTTTTGCTCCCCCTTCATGGCCACTCATCTCTCAGCCCCTCACTGGGACCACTCCTCACTCTCAGCCCCTCACCAGGACCACTCTTCTCACTGAAGCCACACACAGCTCCCTGCTGTGACCTCAGGTCTCTCGATGAGCCTGGGCGCTGCTCCAGGTCCCTCCCCCAACCTGGGCCCTGCCTCAGGACCCCCGGGAGCCTGGGCTCCCCCTGCATGATCTCAAACCCACCAGGGATCTGGGGCTGGGGTTAGGAGGTGCCCCATACTCGCCTTTCACTGGGGAAGGTGCGTGGCCTGGCATTTGTGGGGGGGCTATCCCACCACAGGTAGCCCCACCAGGCCTTCCTTCTCCAGCAGGGTGCAGTTTTCTGTCATGTCCAGGACACTGAGGCCTCCTTCTTCCCCACAGCCTCACCCTTAGCTCGAAGCTGTTCCAGGAGCAGCTTCTCAGCCTGATGTTTCCTCCTTCTCTCTCAACAGCCCTCTGTGGCCCAGCCTATGTACCTGGACCCTAAAATGCCCACCCTAATCAGGCACCTGGCTGCTGCCTGTTTTCAGCCCTTAAAATGGCAAGCACCCAAAGGTGCACTACCACACTGACCTTAACTGCCAAGTTTGTGGAAGGTATACGAAAAGAGAAGACAATGCCATTTGCTTTTTTACACTAATATTGCCTTTCCAGGGGCTTATAGGAATAGCATTTCACTTTCATTCAGCAGATAAAAAGGACAGGGTTCACAGAGAGCCTTTTGTTGACTTTAATGGGACTATTCAACAAACATGAGGTAGGTGCGTGAGTAGAAGCTGAATCAGAGCCTAAGAAAGAAGGTATAAAAGTGCATTGCCTGCTTCCTAGAAAGTCTAATATTAGTCTATCCAGCTTCCTAGAAAGTCTAATATTAGTCTATCCAGCTCTCCCCTTGAAGTGGCCTCCACTGCACCTTGCATTTAATATTTCTGGCATACAGTGGACAAACAACAGTGGAGAGTTTCTGGCTCATTAAGAGCAAGGGCCCAAGCTAGAACCTAGGTCCCGTTCCCATCCAGGCCAGCATCCATCTCACTCAGCCACACACCATCTAGCTTGTTTGCCTCATGGCCCCACATATCTCCCTTCTGTAGCTACCCAGGGGACCAGCTTCAAGTGACTAGAGAGAGGGGTCTGGATAATGCCTAACCTGTGGTCTGGTAGTTACAGCATTTTGCTAGGAAGCAGGAGATGCAGATTCAAAACCCCTTTGGGTAAGGAAGATGGGGCTAGACACTGGGTCTCCCACACCCTGGATGAACAGCCTTACCATTAGCTTAAACAATAAATTATGGGAGGACCCTCATTCTCCTCCCACCTCTCCAATGTGTTTTTTTTTTTGCCAGGCTATAGTTTCATAGTACTGCCTACTGGGTGTACCTGACCTGTTTGTGGTTCCAAACATGCCCAGCTGGAGCACAGCCCTACCAAAAACTGTAATTGTGTGGCTGTGGCCATGTTGTTTAGGCACATAAAGTGAAATGGGATATAGCCCGTTCACCTGCATGGGCAATAAAGCAGCCACGCTAATTTCATACATCTAGTAAACTTCAGTCTTCTCCAGGAAGTTGTTGAAGTCAAGAATGTAATGACTCAAAAGGGGACTGGACATATCATAACAAAATTTGGCTTCAGCCAATACCTGACTGTACGAAAGGGAGGCTCGATTGTGCTGCACCAGAATTAATATTGTTACACTAAGTTTACACAAGTAATCACAAAAATTCCTGGTACAGAAGTCTTAGATTTTTTTAAGCAGGATGGATTTCAGGGAATGGATCTGGATTGTGCCTTCCCATTCAATGTACAGGTTGTGCTCCCAGCTATTTCTTCTTTTTCATTTGGTCCTGACTTCAGACTGCCATACACCTTTCAGCTGTGGCTCTCTAATTGTAATCTTCCCCAACTGCACCCATGTAATCCCAAAGGGGAGGAGAGGTGTGCTCAATTATATTAGGTGTAAAGGTGCTGAAGGGTTTCCTCGGAGCTTGCAAGCTCAATCAGAGTGTTTGCACTCTCGGGACAAGGATCTGCAGCAGGCTGTGTAATGCATGCACATGATTGGAGAACTGTATCTCCAGGGTGGGAAGCCTGGGAAAAAAACAGGGGAGACTAGCTTGGGAGAGGGTAGCTGAAGCTGTGGGGAGACGGGCTGTTTCTGAGGGGGCTGCTACCAGGACAGTTGCTTCTGAGAGGATGACTGGCAGAAGAATTGTGACTGAGTGAGCTGCTACTGAGGGCAGAGGAGCTACCAGCTAATGAGTACCCAGGATTGCCTGGTATCCTTTACTAAAGGAGCAGGGGTTGTGCAAACAGGTTCCCCTCCCCACTCTTAAGATCCCTGGGTACAGGAAGTCACTGGAGGGAATCAGGGACAGGGGTTGCTAGAGGAGGTTTTCTGGGAGAGCTAGAGAAAGCATCAGGGAATCGCGGCTGTGGGAGCTCCAGCAGAGAGCTCAATAAAGTACAGCTGAGAAGGGGCACTCCAGGTGCCAACCACAGGGGAGCTGCCTTGGGAAGTGTCTGTGGGAACGTGTGAGTGATTGCAGGCATCCAGGAAAGACTGGACAAGGGAAGAAACCCTGGTCTCTGGAGCAGCCACACCTGAGGTCCTGACAGGCACCCCCATCTTCTGTCCAGATGACGGCATTGCCACTCCTCTTCTGAGGCAGAGGGAGCACCGCTCCCCGGGGCTCCGCTGCAGCCTCTCCACAGCAGAGCTACTTTGCTCTGGATAGAGTGGTTTTGTGGAGACCTGGCTGACTAAGTGTATATACCTGTTATATACCTATTATAAGTTGCCTGAGTGTTAAAGCTGATAACATAATTGCTTTTGTTATAGCTATAAATATTTGTTATTGATAAATATTTGCTTTATCTGCTGGTATAGATTATTATTTAGTTCATTGAAAATATTTTGTTTGTTATTTGAAATTGTTAATCTCTCAGTTATTATTGTAAATAAATTATTGTAAATAGTTATTTAGTGTGTGGTCTGGTGCAGGGAGGACCACAGGAGAGCACTCCAATGAGTAGTGCTCCCAGCCCATAGACAGAGTGGGAGTAGACCAGACCCATTGGCACCCAAGGATCCCAAAAATTTGGACCTGGCTGCAGGTAGTGCCGCCGCCAGGGTTACATAGGTAATCAGGAGGGAGATCTACTTAAACTGACTTGGAGAGGAAAAAAATCCACTGGTTCTAAAATGGATTCATATGCATTTTCTTCTGCAAACATCATGAGGACATTTTAACCTGCAAAAAGTTTTGCTTTCTTACCTTTGTCCTCTGAGATGACCTGAACAAGTTCATAATCCTCAAAATCATCAGGGTCTAAGTTGTGCTTTGACATAACTCTCTGAATGACAGCTGGAGTCTTGTCTTGGCAAGTCAACTGGAAAAGGAATTTTGCAATGAATGATTTTGCTGCTTTGTTTATCGAGACACCGTTATTAAAGTCTGTTTTCAGTTTACCTTTGGATCTGGGTGTAAGTTTCAGAGTACTGAGAAAATGTCGTGTTTTTGTAATTACATTGTAGCTACTGCTGAGCAGAAAAATGTGGTACATCTGACATTCTATTATTTTTTGTATTAGAAAAGATAATACACTAGCTGAGGCAATAGTAAATAATAGTGATTCCCTCAAGCACTCATTTTGAGAGATGAAATGTCATTCTTCCTGGCCATACCCTTCCACATGAATAGTTGTCTTACAGGTTGCTCACGGGCATCAACTGATTTACAGTCTAAGTCGACTTTCTTTGACACCTATGAAATTTTTTGGCCTTGTTTCTCATTTCCAGTCTGCTGTGGAAGCATAATGTGTTCTGAACAAGCACAGGACTTGATGCAAATTCTTTTGAAATCATCAGAAAGATTCTTGCTACCTTCAACAGGATTTGGGGCAGACCCATAGTTCATTTGCAGTTTTTGAGGGATTGATTTCTTTTAACTTGCAAAAAAAAATACAGAAAGCTACAACTGTTCATTTATGTGTTTCATTCAAAACTCTATCTGGAATGTTTGTTTGGTGTCTCGTATGTGCGGTACAGACAGTGTATGAACAGAAATTACAAAGAGGTGGAAAATAGCCTAGTGCATAGAACATCATAGCAAAGGCTTATTGTTCCTGAGTGTATTTTACTCTACCAAGCTGAGTCCCTGCTGTGAAAAAGACCACTATGAATGTTATTTTATTTTCTCTCCGTCTCTGAAATCTTTCATTCAAGTGTGATGATCACCCATACACAGCAGAGTCCCAGAAGTTACTAGGATGGTCCTATGCCATCAAGACCTTTCTTGCCTAAATCTACCTTGTGCCATTGGGTTGGCACAAGCAGCAGCTGCATCACCATGCATTTGGCCCAGGGTTTACATCTTAACAGTTTCCCTTTCCCTGGAAAGGTTCAGCATAGGACATCTACATCTGGGTAGTATAAACAAAATAAGAGGTATTCCATAGAGAGGTGGAGGATGGCAGCTTTCATGTTCACTTAAAATGTTTGTTAGACTTCTCTGTGATGGATTGTGACTGGTTTTTATCAGGCTTTCCATGTGATGAGATTTTTCAGAAGACGACGTTTGTTTTTGAAGAGTTCAGCCTTTGAAATCTATTTTGATTTTGATTTTTTAATTCTATTGAAATATTTGAAGCATTAAAAGCATCAAGCTCTGAAACCCATAACACAAGATTTTTTTTGTTATTTTTCAAATGGCTCCAACAGCCATAAATAAAGCCTTGGATTTAGGACAAAGATTATAATCATATCCAGATAGCATAATGATGGATGGTAGTAGAGAACTTAGAAAGAGAGATCAGATGAAACAGAAGAGAGCAAGTGATCATGATATGATAGACTTCATTATTCTGAGACAGGGAAAGCATGAGAGGATCAGTATTAGGACATTGAGTTTCAAAGCGGGGAATTTAAATTGACTCAAGGACATAGTAGGCATGGTGCTATGGAAGGACAGTTAAAGGATGAAGTGGCTCAGGAGCACTGGCAACTTCTAAAGGGCACAGTATTGAAAACTCAACAGAAGCTATTCCAAGATGAAGGAAGCACAGGAAGAATGGCAAGAGACCGATATAACTGCATAAAGAGCTTCAATGTGCTTCAAAATAAAAAAAAATATATATACATGCAATGGAAGGACAGGCAGGCCACCACAGAAGCATACCAAGAAACTTCAAGAATTTACAGGGACAGAATCAGGGAGGCAAAGGGAATAAATGAGCTACGCCTGGCAAAGGACAAGAAGAGTTTCTATTAATGTTGGGCAGAAAATTAAAACAAAGGCAGCTAAGGGTTCACTGCCAAATAGGCAGGGTGAGCTGTTAATAGAAGATGCTAAAAGGCAGAGCTACTAAACAACTGCTTTGTCTCAATCTTCACAAAAACAAAATAAGCTGCAAGCAGACAGCTATTAAGAATTATTCAGACAAGGAAGGGGACAATCTGAGGGTTAAGATAACAAAATGACTGTCAGAGAGCTTTTGTTCATCTTGAATGAATTCAGCTCAGTAGAGGATGAAATTCATCCCAGAATAATGAAGGAACTGGCTGAGGGGATCTTGGAGATCTTGGGCAATAATATCTACTAAGTCATGGGAGACAGGCAAACTACTAGAGGACTGGAAAAGGGCCAATATAGCGCCCTTTAAAAAAGGAAAGAAAGGAGAATCCAGGAAATTATAGACCAATTAGCCTAATTTCAATACCTGGGAAGTTGCTGGAGCATCTTATACAGAAATCCATTTGCAAGCATCTGGAAGAGGAAAAGCTGATCACAAGCAGCCAGCATGCATTTGCTAAGAACAAACTGCCAAATTTAATCTCCTTTGAAAAAGTAGGTGTGTCAACATGAGAAGTTTACTGCGGAGCTGCCTAATTAGCTCCACAGCAAAGTCTCCAAGTTTACACGTGTGGCCCTATTAGATTGCAATAAACTAATTAACTCTGCTGTAGATTAGTACTTGTAAGTACAAGTACTATCCTATGGCAGAGTTATTTACTCTGCCATAGGATAGTGCAGCAATATATGTGTAGACGCTGATAGGCCTGGCTGCAGCACAAAGTTACTTCAGTAAGGGGGCTGCGTGCTGACTAACCCCGCGCTGGAGCACCGTCGTGTCTCAGCCAGTCCCTCTGCAGCATGTTGAGCTGGGTTGAAGTAGTCTCAGGGTGGCAGGCTGACCCCCCAGGTCCCGTGCCAGTCCAGGGTTGCTCCAACCTGGCTCAACGTGTTGTCGTCCCAGGGGTACATTTAAGTGTAGCACCCAGAAGCAATAAACTCCAGCACAATATGTGCCATTGTTTATTGCTTTGCATTAATTCTACATGTAGATACGCCCAGTAACTAGCTTTGGAGATGGAAGGGAATACAATTGATACTGTGTACTTGGACTCCAATAAGGCTTTTGACAAAGTCCCACACAACCTTCTCATAAACAAATTGGAGAAACATGGGCAAAACAAAACTACTACAAAGCAGAGACACCACTGGCTCAACAGCCAAAAGCAAAGGTAATTATATATGGATCCATGTTGGAATGGCAGGAGATTTTGAGTGGAATACCACAGGTGTCTCTGCTGTTCAGATGATTTGGATGCTGGAATAAAGAGCTTCCTAAGCAAATCTGCAGCTACCACAACATTGGGAAGGACAGCAAATATACTGGGAACACTGTATACTGGCTGTAGTTAGGGCTGAGGATTTTGCTTAGGATGTGCTGATGCTCCTGCTAGAACTAAAAAACCTAGAAGTTCCTGGTTAGGGGGGCTTGCTCCTCTGCTCAGGGTCATACCAAGCACCACATCTGGGATCGGGCCTTCATCTCCTTGCTTTACCTTTAGCAGGTTATGGTTATTTTTGGTGTTTGGGGGCATTGTGAATGGTAGTTGTGTGGGAGGTTCGTTTGTGCAGTATTAAGAATAGATTAGACATAACTTGATTGGGAAGGTTTAGTCAGGAGTGATCCTGCCTTCAACAGGGGGTTAGACTAGATGACCTCCTGAGGTCCCTTCCAGCTTTACTTTTCTATAAGCGAAAATGAAGGATAATACATTATGATATCTATAATTTTATGCCCTTTGGAATTCTTGTATAACTACATACTATCTATTGCTATCCAGCATCTTTCAGGACTTGCCTTCAAGCTGTTCTTCAGTGTATCTGTCTGCTTACCTGTGCACACATGTCCATTCATACAAGTGGAATGCACATTTTCTTGTTACATGTTTTCTTGTGAAACATTATTCAATGGTTGAAGACAAGTGATGGATATTATCCAACTGAAACCCCAGGAAAGAGTTTGGAAGATGGAATGTACTTTGACTACTAAAATGTAAATGTCAATTCACCCAAGAATCAACGGCCCCTGATATTTAAAATCTTTAAATATTTAAAATCTTTATCTTGGTGTGAATCAGAGCAGCAGAGAATCTACATATAAACTGTCATTCAAAGTGAAAACACATCCAGTAATAAATATACACAATTCTTCCACATCACTTACCAGGATACTTTTGTATACATTGCCATTGTTGTTTTCTACTCTGGTCCGGATTATGCATGCGTCTCCATTCTGCTGGCTGTAAAGAGGAGATGATACTGTGGAGGTAATGCACGTCACAGGCATGGGGCACTTATGAATCTTCGGATTGGAGGCTGAGGAAGGAAGAGGTGAGTTTATGTTGTTTAAAGATGATACTCCTGAGGAAGGTGTGTCCATGGAATGTACAGAGGAACAAGACGACGAGGATTCAGAGAGCTAAATAATGAAAAATAAATTAAAGGGAAAAGTCAGAAACATGATGCAAGCAGTAGGGAGGAAAAAGCACAAACAAAAACTTATTCTGGGGTCTATGCCACATTCTTCAATGTTGTTAGTGGTGGTGTCCTACCTACAGGAGTAACTTGGTTTTCTTTTTGCAATGCAGTATTAATATTTAGTATTTTATCTGCCAGTCTTGCCTGTTTCTGCTGCTCTGAAGCAGAACAGACCAGCAGGTGGCAGCAGACACAAAGACCTGAATGAAATTATGATTTATTTTATTTTTTAAAATTGGGGGAGGAGGGGGGTATTGGTTGTAGCCCTGTTGGTCTAAGGCCATAAGCGGACAAGGTTCTTCAGGTAAATATGATATCTTTTATTAGATATTTAGTTGATCTAATAAAAGATATCACATTTACCCAAAGAACCTTGTCTGCCTATGTCCTTAGATCAACACGGCTACAACCAACACCCTTGAAACATGGAAGATATCAAATTTGGCATTTTGAAATAGATATTTAGTTGGTTTAATAAAAGATATCATATTTACCCAAAGAACCTTGTCTGTTAAAAGAAACCGTGGCACTCCAGACTACCGAACGCACTTTGTTTAGGAAGGAGCTCCTGAACAGCAGATGTGCCTACTAATCTTTCTCTGTTATTACATATTGGGCAAGGTTCTTCACCCAAGGAAATGTGCTCTCTTGCAATATGAAAAGTGAAACTAATATTCAGAAACACTAGAAACTCTGCTTCCATCTCCTCCATTCCTTTATGTATGCAGATTTATCTGACTTTTGCTTTTTTTCCTTTTAGTTGCCCTTTACATTTCCTCTTGTTCCACTCAGTGCCTCACTCCTAAGCCTTGTCCATACACAGCAATGCTCAGTTTATTAGAAGGTGTCAACTGATACCACAGAGTCATAGACATAGAGCAGGGGTGGGCAAAATGTGGCCTGCAGGCCGGATGCAGCCCGCCAGGCCATTCTATCTGGCCCACGGGGCCCCTAAAAATTTAGAAAATTAATATTTATCTGCCCCAACTGCTTGTCATGCGGCCATTGATGGCTTGCCAAAACTCAGTAAGCAGCCCTCCGCCCAAAATAATTGTCTGCTCCTGACAGAGTCACAGAGAAGTAGGACTGGAAGGGACCTCCAGAGGCCATTTAATCCAACCCTGCTCCTGAGGCAAGATCATCCATATCCAAACTATCCCATGCAACTATAATCTAAACTCTACATAAGAATACCCTCAACCCTGACACAACATAGACCTAACACCCTAACCTGAAACAGGTAAAGCAGGGGAATGACAGCAGCCAAGCTCCTGCTTCTATAAAATGTTGTCAGTATATGTTCAAGAGGTCCTGGGTAGAGGGCCACGTTCTCTGCTACAGAGGAAGGCAAAAAACCCCACAGTCCATACCAATCTGATCATAGGGTAAAATTCCTTCCTGACCCCAAATATGGTGATCAGTCTGACTCTGAGGAGGGGCAAGACCTCCTAGTGAGGAAGCTCCAGCTTTGCTACCAGCAGAAATATTGGCACACCTGTGTAGAAGAAGCCCCAACCTTGGCTGTAACCAGCACCCAATGCCTTGGGGAAGGCTTAAAAACACCCTGACACATACCAGAAAAAAGGAGGAGAGATGGGGGCAACGAACACTTACTTTCACTTAAACAGGTGAACACTCTTATTTTGGTTCAAGAGTGCTTATTTCAGTTTAGTTTTAGTTATTTGTAAACAGATTTAAGCTGAATGCAACAGGCCACTCCTAAGCTCAACTAAGTGTCCACAAAGGGCTCTGCAGCTGTTTAACTTGAGTGGGTCAATTAAACTGGGATAGGTTTATAATATGTTGACAAAGCCTCTGATATTTTTTTTTCTCTTCTCTGATCCTCCTTTGCTTGGCTTCTTGTTTACACGCTTTCTTTTCTTTCTTTCTGTATTGACTGATGCCCCCTGGAGCACGCTCTGTGGGCAGTAGCTACACACTGATGAAACAGATGTTGTCTGGCATTTGCCTGTGGTGTTGTGGCACTGTGATGGACTATGGTTTTTATTGCAATATTTCTGTTCTAAATGTGTTCATGTTGTTATAGGTTGTATCAACATGTGCCCATTTACTGTGCAGTAACCTATATTACTGAACAGTATTAGTGCACGTCTACATGTGCACACCCATACTATGCAGTAAAAATGGTGCATTGTGGCAACATGGGCATAAATTTGATACCTGCATAAGCGTAGGAGGAGGAGGTCGGCCAGGGCCACCCGCAGCCAGTGCCCTGGGCCCAGCTGGCGGGTTCACAGCTGCCCTGAGGCCTGGGTGTGGGAGGGGGGGAAGTTGGGGCCAGCTGGGCTGGCACCATGCCCAGCACCAGCACAGGCCACTGGTCACCAGGGGCTGGTGCAGGGGTGGTGCGGGGAGGAAGGGTGGGCAAGGAGGGAGCTGCTGTGTGTTGGCCCTGTGCTGGGCATGTGCCTCCCAGAAAAGGGAGGTACTGGGCAGGGATGTGTGGGTGGGGATGAGACCTTTGGATGGCCACCACATGCTGGAAGTTGCCTCTGGCCTCAGAATGGCTGTCAAGTGCTGGCAGCCATGTGGCTGGACTTATTGTGAAGTAAATTTAAGCTGATGTAAATGCACGTGTAGATGCACCCATAATGTTATACATAAAGCTAGTTTAAGGGGAAAGAATGGGTTAAAGAGACAGTGAAGCCAGGCCTATAAATCAAATAAATAGCAGAGAAAGGCCAAACAGCTACAACCAACAACCCTGCAAATAAATACAATGGATTTCTAGCATCAACAGAGACTTGAATAGCTTTGTTGACATATCAACACAGGATGGGATTGCCAAAGACACCCTGGAGACTTCGGGAAAGTTGAGTGAGATAAGCATGACAATGGACAGGGTCAGGTGAACAAGTGAGTGTCTGCTTGTGTACGTGTGGGGCAGATTTGAAGGCAGACACTGGCCAGGCAGCTGTGGAGCTCAGGAAGTGGGCAGACTGGAAAGGGAATGGCTGAGTAACATTGGAGTACTTAGGACTGTGCAGATTGGATCGGGGACAGAAGGACTGTTTTATATTTTGGACATATAGCCCTATGCCAGCATCATTGATTAGTAGAGTTACCCAGGGAAAAATCAGAGGTAAAAGACTGTTTAAGTTACACTGATGTAGGTGTTGTGTGTTCGCTTCTAAGCCAGGGTGGCTGTTTTTTCAATGAAACAGGCTATTACCAACTTCCCCACCTGTGATGAAGTAGTGTAATAGTGCCTCCTGCAGCAGGTACCCTGGGAGAGTGGGCCATCTGTCTGCTCTGAATATTAGTGAAACTTAGACCAGTGTAAAAGACAGTTGTAAATTAAATCAGTATTAATCTGCTGTGGGCTCAGCCTCTAAGGGTACATCCAGATGAACCCTCACATGCCTCTTGCCATGTCTCAAAGCAGTTTGAGATGCAGGAAGAGGCATGCTGGGAACAAAAAAATGTTCCCCATGCTGCATATTTGCAGCACAAGCTCAAAATGTGATACCTGGGTATCCAGGTATCAAAACACAACATGGGGGTGGGGGAAGGGAAGTGGGGCAGGACATGGTGCAGGACCATTCTTGGAGGCAACTGGCATCCTGCCTGCAACCAGGTTCCCACAGGAAGGGCCAGGCTCACTGCCAGTGCTCGCTGTTTTCAGAATGGGAGGGGGGGAAAGGCAGTGGAGAGAGCTCATTCTTGGGGCTCCCCAGTTGATGCTGAAGGGTGGGGTGCGTGAATTGGAGCCCCCCCCACCTTGGGGGGCCTGCAATACACCTGCTGCACCCTCTAGAGGGGGCCTAAAAACCCCCTAGGCTGAACTCCTGCTCCCTTCCCCCCTCCTGTTCTGAAGACACTGACAGGCTGGGAGCCCCAGCAGACACAAGTTACAAAAGACACTACATTTTGAAACATCTTTATTTGATACCTCATGCAATCAGTCGTCAGATTTTTCACCCAATGGGCCATTTTTTAAGCTGTGCACTTATGTTTGGTCACAGCTAGAAACTGCTTCCTGTGGCCAGATCAGGCAAAAATTGCCACTTCTGTCTGCACCCTAAAAGTATCTTTGTGAATGATATCTTACAGCACTTCCCACTAGTAATGTAACAATGGTGGGAGGCTGAAGTGTTTATACAGGGCTAAGTAGCCTGTGCCTTCTACAGGTACTGTGCCTTCATCAGGATTTTATAGTGGTATAGCTAATGGATGGTAGTTATCCCATTGTAAAAAAAACACCTTTTGTAGTAAAAACACATCCTTAGAGTAGCTGGGCTTCCTTCCTGGAACTGAGAACTTTTTCCTGGTGCAGAGTTCCCTTTTCTGAAAGTAGTTGCCTCCAGTGATTCAGCATGAGGAATAGCAACAAGATGCTAACAGCAAGTGAGTTCATTAAACCTGAGTTGTCCTAGGAGGAAATGACCAATTACTGCTACAATTTATCTTCAAAAGGCTCTGCCTGGCTGGGTTGCTTGTTCTGAGGAAGAAAGGAAGTTCTGTAGTCCTTTCTTTTCATTGCAAACATCACTTTCGCCGTACTCCAGGAATGCAGCAAGCAATTTAATGTTGTGCACACATACTATTTGACCTGTTAGTTCTGCTTCCACAATGCCAATGCTCTCTTGGCACCATTGCAGACAATTCCATCACTCACATGAGTTGTCTCTTGTCAGGGGGGAAGGGCAGGGGAAGAGCTCCATCCCTTCTACCTTTGCTACATTTATTTTTAAGGATCTTCCCTCACTATTGAAAGAAACACCTTTGTCAACTGTAATGGTGGACAGGGGTAAACAATGGATCTGTAAATTCAATTGTTGCTTACAATACAAATATCAGCAATTCCTTATACCCTTTTTATACTGAATACTTTGAACAAAGGGTTTTATACCATACCTTTTTCTGAGGCTCATCCATAGCTGTGTCCACAGGTGTGTCTACAGGCGTGTCCACAGGCGTGTCCACAGGTGTATCTACAGACGTGTCTATGGGCGTGATGCAGACTTCTTCAGATTCAGAATGATTCGACTCACATGATGATACACTGACAGAATCTGTGCTTTCACCAGAGCTCCCACTTGGAGTAGATTTTGGCTGCTCTTTGGTGGGTGTACTATTGGTGATCACATCTGATCCCAAAAACAGTCTGAAAACAAAACAAAAAAATAGATCAGTCAAATAATGAATGAAAAAAATGTTGCTGGACTGAACAGATGCAACACTTGCTTCGTAAGTCCATGTTTTATTCTCCTAAATCTCTTTTTATTGTTCATTGTCTTTACTCATCCTCTATGTAAGATTAAAAAATGTTTTGCACACCAACATTAATATTTGTTATTCCCTGATACAGTCTAAGCTCAGAGTCAAATGTAGAGGTAATAAGTAAGAAACAATATGATGGACTCCCGAATCCTCCCCGACTCTCTGATAGGTGATTAAATTGGTATGAGTTACATTAAAGGAGCCAAAAGGTATAATGGTTAAAAGCAAAGGGTGGCCTACTTCAGCTTATACATTTTTGCCCTCTCCTGTTATGGTTTCTTTCTTGCTTTACTTTTGGCCCTTTGTTATATAAATTTCATCATTCTGGGATCACTTGCATTCAGATTTAGGAGGCAAAATTCAGAAGTGCTCCAGTCTCCAGGTTAAAGTCTCTGGGTTGCTACAGTGCTTGCATTAAAATAATGTTTGTCCCTTGATCTTTCGCCTGGGCTCCACAGTGCAGGAGACAAGGAGTTAATAGCTAAATGTCAGCCATACATTAAACGTTCTGTTTGCTCAACATACCACATGCTGTTAAATTCATCACATCTTCTCTTGTCCAGCCTATGTCATCCTTTTCATGTGCGCTCTCACATCAGATTTAAATTCCTCACCCTCACTTTTAAGGCCTTCCACATTTTTTCCATCCTCCCTGATTTCTGCTCTTATTACATGCTGCTTTCCCTGCATTTCTCCTCCTCCTCCTTCAGTGTTTGGCTCCATGCTGTTGGTCCCCGCTCACATTGTGCTTGAATTTCTATGCAGTGTTTCATATTCTATTTTATACTGAATTAGACTGAAAGTTTCCCTGAGCTGATGATACTTACTTATCCTGGAAGTTGCTACACAGAGTATTCAGAAGCATTCTAGCAATATCTGCCTCTTATGTTGCATGTTAAAATTCTACAGGGAATTTTTACGTGTGTCCTAAAATAAATTAACCATGGACCAGCTCTACTCTCATTTTCTCTGCTTTTCCACAGTAGTCCATTAAGTTGTTATTATTATACATCAATTTAACTGTGTTTAGAATTGGGCCCTAAAACTGTTCCTTTCACTGCACCTCAAAAAAGTCTTGTAGAACTGAACTATCTGCTTCTAATCTCTTTCATCTGTAATTATTTTTGCTAGTATTTGAAACAATAGTTAGAGATAACCATTTCAGAAAAAAGTAGGATTTTTTAGCTGACAGAATCCCTTGAAGTGATGCAGCATATTGTACTCCCTGCCAAGTTCCTTGTCTGGTGGAATATGTATTTCTCATTTGATTTATTCCGGTTATTTCTCAGAATAAATCATAAAATACCACTAGTCATTCTGTCATACTCACAGGCTGAGTCTCTTCACCATACTTTTTCGAGGCTTCGGTGATGTGGTGCTAGTGTCTGCAGCTGCTTCAATCTCACGTGAGAGGTTATAACTAGAACAGAGAAAAATTTCTTATTGAACGTTTCTAAATGCAATTTCATTATCATTTCTTTGGATGTCCGAAGTTCTCCTGCACAGATTTCATAATCATGTAATCTGATCTCAAATTGGGGATATTTGAAATGAAGAGATTTTTCAGTCTTTCCAAGTATAAGGACAGAGAGCAGCAGCACAGGAAAAAAGAAACAGCCATCTGCCTATGTTTTATTTTGAGGAAGGGAAATCTGGTTTCTTTGAAACAGTATAAAGAGCTGACATGGTTCTTCACATCAACCAGCTAGTTTAGAGCTGGCTCAGGTATGTGTCTACAAATTGCAGTCATAGTGACTCAATATAGTATACATCTGAACTTGAACATCTGAACGCTTTGATTTACATCTGCATATGTCTGACCATCACGGGTGATTGGTGCCTCCTAATATGGGAGGGGGCGGCACTAGTCCAGCTAGTCCGGTGGCACCAGTGGCCAATCGCCGACCGGGGGGCAGGAGGGTCCCCCAGTGGCTGATCGCCAACTGTGGGGAGGGGGCAGTGGTTGATTGCTGCCACCAGCGGAAATGCCAGCAGCAAAACCGGAAGTGCCGGCAGCAACTCGGAACTGCTGCCAGTGCTTCTCTTAGGGGGTACACAGTCAATCTCAGGGGGTGCACATGCACCCCCTATGTGTCGCCAATGCTGACCATATATGTCTGTCTGCATCACATACTCAAAGTCACAAGCACAGACAATCTGCTAAAATATAAAATCCCATTAAGTGTCAAGTTCTCACCAGTTGCTTGATAAAAGCACACTGTTTTTATCCTTGATTGGTGGTATAATTAAGATACTTCGGAGAGAATATCTAGAGCAGATATAACTTGCTTAGCTAGATGGGAGGTTGGATATGCAAAGCATACTTCCTCTACTGCACTGATAACCTTACCTCTCCTCCTCTGTTAAGGGCTGCTGTCTCTCAAACCATCGGATGAATTTTTGCTCTGGTGTAAGGCAGTAGCTGTTACAGGCAGATTGCAAAAGTTTAATTTGGGCAATTACTTCAAACTCCTAAGGAGAAGCAGCAAAGAAGAATTTTAATTAGAAAATAAAACAATGCCAAATACAGACTCATTCATATTCAAAGCAAGGATAAATGGACAAAACACATGCAAGAATAACTATAGGGCAAGGTAAAGACTGGGCTTTGGTCTCAAGTGACTATAACTGTAATTTTAGGTGCCACAAAATTTGCCCTTTGTTTTCATGGAACAACTGACAGTCTTTGCTCCTTGTAAATTTTATCAAAGATCCCCAGATTATTAGGGGAAAATATGACAAGTGTCCAGTGCCACCATGCCTCTTAACAAGATTGCTTTTGGGAGCCATAATATCTAATATGAATGTACGATTGTTGCAAGATGCCAGAATGACACCATTACAAATTGAAATGTTCTCTTTATTCACAGACTAGGAACACCAGGAACCTTCCCTATGCTGTCTCACCTGCATACCTCCTCCCATAATAGAGCAAATTACCTCTAATGGGGTGTGCTTACTGGGTCCTTAGACTTTCGGGACCACCAAGGTTGTCCATTATATCACCTAGGGTGTCCCTCTGAGGAGGGGGGAGGTTCTGATTTCTCCACCCCCTTGTATTCTTTATAATCACTTCTACTTGTGCAACATGAATGTAAAAGGCTACCCCTGGTGTGATCCAATGGGAAATTTAATGTGGTATCATTCTGAAAACATTTTGCTGAGGTATAAATACAACAGAAGGGAAGGCAGGTGAGAGTCACAGCCTAGAATCGAGCCACACAGAGGAACAGTGGAGTGAAAAGCTAGTCCAGGTAATGGGGTAAGAATCCATAGCCCCCGCTGAGACCGCAGCTAACAGCATGCAGCCTATGAACAATTGCTTGTTCTGCAATTACAATCATCAACAACCAGCAGGTGGCTACAGCTTTGCTTTTCTACTGATTTAGGCTAAAATGGATTGGTGACCTAAGAGATTTGTATCCTTTATAAATGCTACAAGCCATTGACAAAAAAAAAAGGGTAAGTCTAAAATGTGGTTTGGGGTGCTGAGAATTAACTGAGCCAATGGGCTCTCTCTGGGCAAAATCAAAGTGCTCACTGAATCTCAGAAGGAGAAAAATCTGTATTTGGTTTGACTTTGTCTGGAACAAAGTATGCCAAACATATTGGTTTGACTTTGCTCATTTGTTTAATGAAGAGCAGACTGTGGGAGAAATGGTAGCGTTTTTGTTTTCAGCCCCGTCTACCCTGTTCATTCTTTTATTTGGATTATTTATTTGGATTCAGTGAAACAGATCAATGCAGCAATAGAAGGCAATTTATAAGACTTAAGATATGTTTTCTAAAAACAAAATTCACATTGTGTTAGGGATGACTGTGACTGGATAACAGACTTCCTCCATTAATCCCCATGGGGAATGCATGGCCAGTCCCCATGCACATATGTCCTGTATATGTACTGTGCAATCCTAAGGAATGGTTTTGATTCTGTAGTATCCATCTAAATAATTACAGATTTTCCTTTCTTCACTTCCCACCTCAGGCTTATTCAGATTCATGGTCATCCAGAAGTCTATTCTTCTTTCCTCATTTCCAAGAAAAATCTCATCAATAACATGCATAAGGGGGAGAAAATAATTCCTAAAGTATAAACTGGATTCCCCTGAACAAGCTGGCAGCTAAATGCAAGTCAAGGAAGAAGTTCAGACTTACTCGTCTTCTCTTCTCAAAATTTATCAACCCACCCTACAAGAGAGAAAGAAAAGAGAGACCAGTGAAGAAGCCAAACTGCACAAATTAAATTGCCATTCTATAAAAAGAAGTGTGGATAAAGCAATACTGATAAATTACAACATTTATTCTCTTTCAGCAAGGGCATTCTCTTTCAGCAAGCCTGAGTTCTCAGAGTTGGTAAAAAAAATATTAAACCTACATGCTAGTTCAAAATGGATACCAGCCTCCTGGACTGACTGTCAGACTCACCAAGAGGAAATTTTCCGACACTTTAACAGGGGTAGCAGGCATGTTTCAGGTCTCAGTTGAAAGGCACAGGTGTAGCTGTGTGTGTGACAAGTGTGCCCGTCTCCTGCCTGCAATGCACATGGCTCTAACCAGTGTTCTCAAGTGTTCACGAACACCGGGTAAACATACAGAAACACCTACACACAATTGGGAAACCATCCAATACAAAATTACATTTTGTGTCAATTCCAAATCATATCTCTTGAGTTCAGTTTTCAAAAATGTCAAAGAAATTTACCAAGTCCAGACAAAATTGCACTGGCCCATCCATTTCAGGAAGACCAACACAAGCACCCTACATACCTGAGGTGTGGGCTTTAGTGATTACAAAGGAAAAGAAAGACTGAAACAGTGGGTTTATTTTCAAAGGCACTGAGTACCTTGAGTTCCCATTAACTTCAGTGGAATATACGAATGTTTAAGACTTGCGAAAAGCCAGCCTTTTCTTCTTTAAATGTTTGCACATGAATTTAGAAGCTTAACTATAAGGACCCAGATTTGAAACAATAATGCAACTCATTTTCACCCGAACTACATATTCCCTCTCCTCTTTGGTAACATGCACACTTCCTCGGGTGTACACAGCCTGTTCTTTTATCTAGTTCCCTCCCTCACCGTGAAGTCCATTAATTTTCTAAACCCTTTGAAATGCTGTGATTCCAACTGCAGTCTCTGCCCATTGGCATAGGTGGATTAATGAACGGGCAAGCTGGGCACGAGACCAGAGGCCCCTTCCAATTTGGGGTCCCAGGATCTTCATCAGCAGAGAAACGAAAGCTGCAGTTTTAAACTCGGTGTCTATTTTTGGTACCAAGTTTAAAACTGTGGCTTTCACATTTGCTTCCCTGGGAGCTGGAAGCAGGACCCCTCCACCAATGGGGCTGGGGGGAGGAAGGCAGGGCTGGGGTCAGGCTGAGAGAGCCGTGCCGTGCCTGGGGGAGGGGGGCAGGCCAAGTGGCACCATTACTTGGTGGGGGAAGGGCGGTGAGCCGGGCTGAAAGAGCCATGCCTTACCTGCCATAGAGGGCGGGGGGTGGTTGGGGCTGGGCTAGCTAGGCCAGGAGCCCCACACTGCACTGCGCCTTTACAGGTGGTGCTACTGAGAGGGCCTTGCGGGCTAGAGCCCCCCAAAATTCATCTGAGCCCAAGCCCACCCACAGCTGAGCTACCCCTCCCAGTGCCGCCACCACCTGCCCACAGCACTCCTGGCCAAGTCCAGCTCAGCCCGGCCCGCTGTATCTGCAGGTCTGCATGGGACAGCCAGGCAGCACCTTCCTGCACGTACATGTGACAGGGCCGGACGGGGAGTGAGGCTTGACTGCAGGCAGCTGTAGGGGGAGGAGAAGGCGGAGTGCTGTCTGTGTGTGTGTGTGTGTGTGTGTGTGTGTGTGTAGGTGTGGGTGTATGTGTGTGTAGGTGTGGGTGTGGGTGTCGAGGTGTGTGTGTGTGTGTCTGTGTGTGTGTAGGTGTGGGTGTCGAGGTCTGTGTGTGTGTCTGTGTGTGTGTAGGTGTGGGTGTCAAGGTCTGTGTGTGTGTGGGTGGGTCTGTGTCCATGCGCAGAGAGTGAAAGTAGAGTATGTGCCTGTGTCTGCACACCTGTGTGTGTGCATGTGTGTGTGGGGGTGTAGGTTGTAGCCATGTTGGTCTAAGAACATGGACAGACAAAGTTCTTTGGGAAAATCTGATATCTTTTATTAGACCAACTAAATAGTTGGAAAAAAATTTCTTAGCAAGCTTTTGGGTTTAAAAAACCCTTCATGAGGCTGAGGAAGCATCTGCAGTTGGTGTGTGCTCTTCCTGGATGGAATGAATAGTAAAGAGGCCAGAGGCTGGTCTGCATGCAAGAAAGGCGGGCAGTGAAAATGTAAACTGAGGAGTCAATAGGTGAGAGAGAGGCTGGGAAGGGGCGGGCGGGGGGTGCAGGGAGGAGGAGAGGATGAATGTAGCAGGTAAATAGTGGAGAGGTACTTGGGGAGTCAGATGTCAGGCAGGTTATAAATGTGCCATAAATCAATGTCTATGTTTAGTCCATGATTTTTTATATCCAGTAAAGTTCATAGGCTGTCAAAAGTGTTTTGTGAATTCCCTTTGAGAATTAAAACTGGGAGATTGGAGAGAGAGCGGTTTTCTTGTGAGAAATGTGCCCCCACCGGTAATTGGGTATTCTTGTCTTTGATAGATTTCCGGTGTGCATTCATTCTAGTGCACAGTTGTTGTTTGGTCTCTTCTGCGTATTGTCCATCAGGGCATTTGGTGCATTGGATGAGATATATTACATTTCTGGAGGTGCAGCTGTAAGATCCAGGAATGCTGATAGCTCTGTTGTGGGGTGTAGTAATTGTGGGGGTGATGGAGATGTGTTGGCAGGTTTTGCATTTCTTGTCACGGCATGCTCTGGATCCATTTGGTGCATTTCGGGCCGTACAAAGTTTGCTTCTGGTAATGAGGTTAGTGAGTTTCAGTGCTTATTTGAAGGCTAGGATGGGTGGATGTGGGAAGATCTCTTTAAGAACTGGGTGTCCTTCTAGTATGGGTTGCAATTGTTTCAGGATTTTCCATATAGGTTCGAGCAAGGGGTGATATGTCAGAACCAGTGGTGTGTGATTCATGGGGGTTTTCCTTCTGTATTGCAACAATTCTTCACATGGTATCTGGGTGGCTCTTTCAAATATGTGATCTATCTCTCTGGAGGAGTGTCCTTGTTTAGTGAAAGCCTTGTTAAGATTTGTGAGGTGGCAATCCCAGGTCTAAATGTGGTGGTATCTGAGTTTGACTGTATATCACAGCTTTCTTGGTGTGTTTAGGGTGAGTGCTGGTTCTGTGCAGATATGTATGTTGGTCTGCGGGTTTCTTGTAATACATGGTCTGTATTTTACCATTTGGATGCTGATCATTGTGTCTAAAAAGGAGATGTTGGTGCTGGAGTACTCGAGGTAGTCAGATGGAGGGGTGATGATTGTTGAATTTCTGATGGAACTCAATCAGAGATTGCAGGTTTTCAGTCCAAATGATGAAGATGTCATCAATGTATCTTAAGTATATTGTGCAGTCTTTGAAGAATTTTTCTTCCAGATGGCTCATAAAAAGGTTGGCATACTGTGGGGCCATTTTGATGCCTATAGGTGTGCCCATGGTCTAGAGGAAGTGTTGGTTATTGAAAGTTAAGTTGTTGTGCATGAGGTGTATAAGGTCAGTAATATCTTTGGGTCTGTACTAGGAATTGTCATCTTGCTCTTGTAGGTATGTAAGGCTGGCTTGGATGCTGTCCTGGTGTGGCATGGTATATAAGCTGGTAACATCTTGGCTAGGAGGGTGTTGCTGGGAAGGTGGTCTATGTTTTTAAATTTTCGTAGGAAGTCTGTAGTGTCTTGGACAAAACTCACTCTTTGGGTGACAAGTGGTTTAAGGAGTGATTCGAGAAAACCCACCGACTCTCACTGATTCTCTCACTCACTGACTCCTCAATTTACATTTTAACTAACTGGTTTGCATGCATAACAGCCTCTGGCTTCTTTATTATTCATTCCATCCACCAAATGCAGATGCTTCCTCAGCCTGATGAAGGGTTTTTAAACCCAAAAACTTGCTAAGAAAATTTTTTTCCAACTATTTAGTTGGTCTAATAAAAGATATCAGACGGCAGGGTCCACCCAGCCTCCCCCACCAGCATTATGAGGGGAGGGGGCCCCTCTCCCCACCCCCTGCAGCCCAGCTCCCATGGAGGGAAAGGAGCTCCAATTTTGTGCTTGCCTAGGGCTCCAGTACACCTTAATCTGCCTCTGCCCATTGGTCAAGATCTGTTATGCTTACCCTTCCCTCCTTACACTGGACAGATTTCCTTCCCAGATGAGGAAGAGAGAGGAGGAAGAGTCTTTATTTATCAAGTCCTCAGTGCTCAAATGTTTATGCTTTCAACTGAGAAAATGCTGAAACATTGTAGGCTCAAACTGACAAATAGTGCTTAAGACAGAGCTGTAACATTTGGTTTTCCAGCATGGCATGGGGATAATTACAGATAAAAAATAACTGTCATTTAAATAAAACTAAAACAATAAAACCCCTTCTACTCTCATTGTATTTTGTTCAGAAAGTTTTTATTTTTGTAATATAAAGTGTCATACTTGGGCAGGTCCCTTCAAATAAGCTGCATTATTAAATTCAGTAGAGCTCTTTTTGCTCATGAAAGTATTGTTCATTCTCCCCATCTCCTTGACGTACACATTCTTCTATGCTTGTGATTACTCCATATGAAGAGATGAGGGAAGAACATAGTGAAAGCTACAGGACCATGGGGATTGTACTAAGTAACGGATAGGTAGGGAAAAGGGTTAAGATTCAGGAAGCTGCTCAAACCTACCTCAACATGGTCCTGATGGGCTGTGTCAAGCATGGTCAGATCAGTAAGAAAGGTTCCAAGATAAGGTACTGTGCCCTGCATTACTCCCTGCACAGAATCCAAGCAGCGTTTGGTTAAATGTCAAAGGAAAGCTAAGAATTCCAGCCAGGAAGTGATGTTATAAAACAGCAGACAAAACTAGCCAGCTAACAATCCTAAACCAGATCTTAAGTCTGCTTCTTTTCCACTTAAGTCAATGTGAATTTTGCCATTGCCTTCTGTAGCAGTGGGACAAATGAACAACAGATATGGAAGGGTATGTATGCTGAAGTCCAACTGCTATCCTGCAGGAAGTCTTGTACGTAGTGTGAGTATCAAATCTAGAATGAGCATAAATGAATCTCACAGTTGCCTTCAGCATGACAGCTGACTATATAGATGGCTCATGATATCTTGTGTGAAGAGCATTTTTCTTTGGTTCCTCCCAGTGAGGCATTGCTTTTTTAATGATGTTAGCAAATCATAGGATTCCTTTCAGTTTTTCCTCCAAGCTGTATACATCCTCCCTGGGATAATTACCATGTTCTAATTAAGTTAAGATTCAGGCTTTGATTTTCTTAGGCCTGCTGTCTTGTGTGTCTACATCAGGGAGGAAAAAAAGTCACACTGCTACAAAAACCAGCGAGACCTGTAATGTGCCAGTCAAACAATAAAGCAAAATATCTGGCAGTATTCTTTCCTCTAGCTTCCAGATCTCTCCTCAGTAAGTATTTCTGAGAAAGCCACTTGTTTCTGCAAATGTTCCATTGCTCTCAATTTCATTATGGTAAAAATCAGTTTTCACTGGCAAACCAGAAACCAGACATATCTTATAAAAAAACCATTGTGCAAATTCCAAAAAAAAGTATGGGATCTCTGTGTGTTTTATGACCTCACTCAGAAGTAAATGAAAATTAGGCTTTGGACAGAGTTAATTTTCCTGGAATGTTCTAAAAAGTTCAATGTTTCTATAAAGCATTTCACTCATGAAAACTGGATATTTTCAGAGTTCTGTTTGAAAGGTAATGGAGATAGTTTATTGAAAGGAGCTCCTGTACTTCCTTAGGAGAGGACAAAACAGTTGGAGGCTATGGTTATCTTCCTATATTTACCTATTGTGTAACGCTGTCTTATGCAGTGGCTTTATTAAGTTCCTGAAAGTTTTGATATTAAGGTCCAAACATTCAACCCAGCATCCATCATGAATAGCTGGGTAGGACACTGGGCAGATGTAGTGGGGGGTGAGGGGGGAGAAAGAATTAGCCTTGTTCACCCCAGTGCACTCTTACTACGGAGAGAGAATCAGAGCTTGGTACAAAAGGAAATGATTTAGAACCTCATCTCTCCTCTAATTGCTGTACTCTCTCAGCATCAGCAGTACCTCATTTCATGCACTGGATATACATTTGGAATATACATTTTTCCTGGCACTATAATACATACACGGGTGTTCCCAGAGTACAGGAGAGCTTGGTTTTTCAATAAACATAGCTGTTACAATTTGGCAGTTCAGCACAGCCATGCATGGTGTACAATACCAGATAGTATTTTAGGCCATATGTAAAAAGGGACACAGATAAGGCTGAGTGTTCAGCCTTAACCTTTTGCATTGACTTTGTATGTTAGTTGGTCAAGCTCACTGCTGCACTTGGAACTGTTTTTGCAGAGCATGTCACAGTTTGTAATTTTTAAGGTTATCATTTTTGTAGGGGATTAATCACATGTACAAATTCAGAAAGTAGAGAGGACAAGAAACTGAACACACCATATCTTTCTGCAGCTGAAGTCGTCTCTGAGTCCTTTTTTGGTTCTCCTTCACACTACTGTCCAAATTTGCAAACTTAGATGTTCCTTCCTGTAGACCAAATGAAAAGGCAATTGATGGAAGATAACAGGTAAGATTGGAATCACTGTAAACTGACACAAGGAAGTTTGTCTGCAATGGATCTGGCCCAGCCAAAGCTGAGAAGCTTTGAAGCTTTCCTGATTTTTCTAGGTCAAAGACATCTAAATATGCTACTTACGTTTGTAAGCTTTATCCAAAATCAACCTATGGGCTTCACTTCCTAACTCGAGTTTCATAACCAACACTATCACAAATAAACATGTTCTTCTGTTATGTAAAGTTCTGGTGTTTTTCTTTTCTTATACAGTAATACTGACCTATGATGACTAATTTCTGTGGTTTGCTGACTATGAAGACATTCAGTCAGACTTTCAGCAAATGTAGAAGTTTACATTTGTACAATTCAGGAATTAAGCATTTCGGTTTTCATAACTTTGAGCTGCTCAAATGTTGATCTGTCTTGGTGCTATCTCAAGTTTGGGGGACCTGAAGCTAGGAGGTGAGGGCTAATGGGATGGGAGTTGAGTAATGAAATAGGAGGTGGAAAGGAAATTGGTGAAATGAAGGAAGTCAACCACTGAAGGATAAAATAAAAAGAAGTGAAAAAATAATTTAAAAAGAAATAAAGAGGAAGTAAATTAAAGAAGGTCTCATAAATTGGGAGTTGGGATTTGGGGGTGTAGGAGGTGCTGGTCATGCTTCTCAGGGTAGTTGGAGGTGGGAATGGTGAGGGAAGGCACTTTTGGGGGACCTACTAACCCTGTCCCAGGGAGGAAGCCCCAGCTCATGGGGACCTGATCTGGCCCTCTACCCTGGTCCCCCTGCACCCCACTCCTGGATTTGTTCGTGCCCTGAAACCTAGCTAGCTGGCACATGGTCTGCAGGCAGTTTGCACAGGGTTGTACTCCTGGGGTAGGAAGGTCATACCACTGGGCGCAGGAAGGGGGAGTTGGCTTTGTGCCACAACCACCCCTTGGCAGTAGCAATATTGCTAACCCCACTGTGCCAAAAATCATGAGATGAATTCTTAAAAAAAATCAAGAGACTGGCATGTAAATCATGAGATGCTATTTTTAAAGCATGTGTGTGGCGGGGAGGGTTATTTGTGAAGGTGTGGGGGCTGGGTGTGGGTAGGGGGAGAGGTTTGGAGCCCAGGGAGGGAGGGTCCCCACACACCCTGGCAGGATGTGGGGTACTATGGATCAGGAGTGAGAGACAGCAGCAGGGCTGGAGGGCTGTGGCTAGGAAGTGAGAAGCAGACACACAGACACACAGAGACACAGACACACAGAGACAGACACATAGACAGCACCAAGCTGGTAAGTGGAGTGGAAGGCAACGGGGGGAAAAAGGAAGGGACAAGGAGAGGGGGCAGATCAAGGCCCCCACAGTGAGGAAGGGAGAGAGTGGAGCAGGAGCAGGGGCTGGGGTGAATGGGGCCCCAGGGCTGGGGTTGGTTGTCAAGAGGCACAGGAGTGGGGAGTGCAGCTCTCCGCAGCTGCGTTCACCCCCAGGGGAGGCATGGGAGGGCGCAGAGCCCTGAGCCCACAGTAGGCAACCACCTCTGCCCCATGGGGGGCACATGCCCCCCATGCCTCTCCTGGAGGTGCCATTATGGCAGGGAGCCACAACCCCTGCCATGCTCTGGTCAATCTACCTACGCCCCGGCCCCAGGGCTCCATTCACCCCAGCCCCTGCTCCACTCCCTCACCGTGGGGCCTCCACTGCCCCTTCCTTCCTTTTTTCCACCCAGCCCCTTCCCCTTCACAGACTTACTAGCTGGGTGCTCTCTATATGCACTGGAAGGAAAATCCTGAGATTTGAGGGTTGCATCCTGAGAACATGAGTTAGGGTTAATTTGATTTGGAAATCAGGAGTCTCACGACTGTTTTGTGAGAGTTGGCATTACTGCAGTAGAGTTCTGGGGGTGGAAAGTTTGTCCACACAGAACAGGAAGGTGCGGGAGGGGACACTGCATCCTGGGATGCTGGAGGACTGCAACTTGGGCAGCTCATCTGTGGGGAGTGACCACACATTAATGCAGGAGTTTTCAAACTTTTTAAACAAGTGTATCCCTTCTGCCTCAAACTTTCAGCTCATGTACCCCTTTATATTTTTTCTTGTTTTTAAGGGGGTTGCAAATCAAGGCCCCCACGGTGAGGGAGGGAGTGGGCCTGGGGCAGGGGCAGGTGCTACACAGCCAGGGTGGAGCGCAGGATGGAGCTGTGAGAGCAGCTCATCCAGGAGGTGCAGGGAGGCGGGGCAGGGGCAGCTCCTGCTGCTATGCACACCCTGGTGGAGGCCCGGGGGGGGCACATGCCACCCAGATCTGTGCACAGTGTGGAGGCAGCTGCTGCTGCAGCCTGGACTCTATATCCCTGTTGCAGCTGCCCCAAGAGCCACGCGATGCCATGTGCCTATTGCCGCTGGGTGCACAGGGGACACACACACACACACACACACACACACACACACATGCAGAAACAGACACCCCCCCAAGCAGGTAAGTATGTTGTTGGGGGGGAGGAACAGGGAAAGGGCTGGGGGGCTGCAGATCAAGACCCCCCCACAGTGCAGGAGGGAGTGGGGTAGGGGTGAATGGGGACCAGGTTGGGCAACAATGGGAGCCTGGGGGAGCATCCAGGGGCACAGGGTAGGGGACTCCCACTGCGGCATGCACCGCAAGGGAGCCAAGGGAGGACACATACCCCACCGCTCTGTGTACGGGGTGAGGGCTCTGCCTCATGCTGCTTCGAGAGTAGCACAATGCCATACATGTCCCGCTACTGGGCAGTTCGCCACGGAGCTACTGCCCACCCAGCAACGGGATGCACATGGCTGTCGTTCTGCTCTTGAAGAAACCAGTGGCAGTGAGGCACAGAGGG